TTAGAGGCTGATCCTTAAAGAGCTATAGTCCATCATTTTCAGCTATCTGAAAAGTAACTGACATAATTATTGTTGAAAAACATACTTGGTTGAAAGATAGTGAGGGAACTAAACTCCCTGTGAAATTAGTCTTTCTGGCCTGCTGTCATTTTGAAGAAATCAACGAAAGCAGGCTTTTCCAACTGTGGGTCTAAAGATGCACCGTTGGAAGTTTCCGTTTGTAGTTCATTTTTGTATTCGGCGAAGAGCGCGCAAGCGTGCACGATGCATATGTGCGCGCGGTTGCTATAATTCGTCGGATCAGTGCGCGACATGTAGCTGCAATTGGCTCAGTGAGAACGTGTCTCGGACACTGAATTCAGGCCCAATTCAAAACATGATTCAGCAACTTTTGATTCGAAATCGACATCGTAGAAGGCTGTTTCTCTCGGAACAATCAGCTGAAGCTGAGCTGAAATTTCATCAGATTTATAGTTGTTCAGCACCTTTTTTTAGATTTTGAGCACATTTGTTGCTTCAAACGAACAAAATGCACAAATTACAAATGATGGTCTGTAGGCCTACCTTTAAAGTATTCAACATTAAAATTGCTGTAATTTTCAGAAATGGACCGTATATGGACGGATTTTTTTAAAGAGAGCAGTCACTTCAAAAGTAGGTTTTTAAAAATGTTTTACGGCAAATATCGTTCCACTGACCCGTTTTAAGTTTGTTTTCATAGATGGCGCAAACCCTCAAGAAAACTATTGTAAGCTATTGTAGTGCAGTTTCATTAACCTGCACTTCAGACGAAACGGGACAATTTAAAGATGTCAGGGAATTTTCAGGTCATTGGGGAACCAAAGCTGGCTTATGGCCATTCACGGGTATGTTACTGATTGCAAACAAAATGCGGGCTAACTAAATTTGGACAATTGGGGGTAGCAGTTGAAAAAAAAGCCGAGTTTTTGTTCCAACAGTGGTTGGCCCAACAATCGTTGGAAAATGAATCAAAATTCTACTTTTCTTGAAAATTACGGCATAGTAGAGCATACCAGGCGCAACAATTTCACACAATGCTTTACAGGTAGACTATTCAATCAAGTAAGGTATTTCATACTAATTTGGTATGTAGTTTCATTTTTTAATGTTTGCAAATGTTGTTCCGGCACATTACCTTTAAAGGGAGAATACAACATTTGCAAACATCAAAAATAAAACTACCAAATCATTTTGAAATACCTTGCTGGACTGTTAGTGAATGACAGTGTAAAGCATTCTGTAAAATCATGGCACCTGGTATACTGTCATTTTCAAGAAAAGTGGTATTTTTGTATCAATTTCCAACACTGGTCGGCCGACCAGCGTTGGAAAAAACTGGCTTTTTTCAAATACTGGCCCCAGTTGACCATCGCACTTGTTTGCAATCGATTACACACCTATGAACGGGTACAAGCCAGCTAGACTGGTTCCCTGACCTTACAATTCCCCAATGTATGTAAACTGCTCTGTTTCTTCTTATATGGAGTCAGGGAACCAGACTACAGGAAAATGATTATTTTTCTTGGTTTTTATAGCATTTTCGAACCCAAAACCTCAAAAAAGTCAGTGTAACTATATTTGCTATATATTTCCAACCCCCCAATTCCATCCATTTCTGAAAATTACAGCAAAAGCAAATGATGTATATTCCCTTTAACCTAAGACAGATATTTCAAGGACTTTTACTTTTAGTGGCATAATGATCCATTTTTAACAAGTTTAAATTCTCTTATTTGACGGGTTCATTCCATTATTACATTTGTGGCTTGATATCGTTGGGTTTGCAGTATGTTCATTATAATAACTCTACAGTCCTTCCTGATCTTTTTAAATACACTCGGAGGTTAAAGTAGATTTGGGAGAGGTAAAGGAGTAGAGCTCGATCAATATTAATACTTGAACTGGGAGGATGGTGCCTCTTTAATATTGAATGTCTCATTTGTTTCCTGCAAAGCGGAGAGCTCTGGAAGGTTCTTGACAAATTCGCACAGCAAGCAGAGTAAATTATTTACTTTCAGAAGTCCGGACAATTTTCTTAGTGAAGTGGGACTAGTTTCAGTCCAGAGATCATTTGCATTTAGTTGCATCTAGCCAAAGACATTTTGCAAGGAAGTTGTGGGGAAAACTTCCTGAATCCTTCACATTCCAGCTTGTACCCTTTTGGCTCATCCTTATACATGTACATGTGCATACATCTTACACACCAAACACATATAGCCAAGGAGTTAAACTTAAGTGTTGAGATCCGGAATCCATCAAAATCCCCCAACTGCTCAATATGGAGGCATCCTGAATCCATCAAAATCCAGCAGTACCGCTGGGCTTATTGTTCTGAATCCGCCGAATCCTGAATCTGCCGAAATCCTCCAAAAAAACAGGGGTGTGGATTTTGATGGATTCAGGTACGTTAGCGTTAAAGCTATAGTCCATCATTTGCAGCCATCCGAAAAAGTAACTGGCGTATTATTGTTGAAAAACATACTTAGTTGAAAGATAGTAAGTGGACTAAGCTCCCTGTGAAATTAATCTTTCTGGCAAGCTGTCATTTTGAAGTAATCAACGAAAGAAGGCCTTTCCAATGGTGCGTCTTAAGACACACCGTAGGAACATTTTAATTAGTAGTTCGTTTTGTTATTCGGCGCAGCGCGCGCCAGCATTGGCACGACGCACAGGCGCGCGCGGTTGCTATAATTCGTCGGATCAGTGCGCGACATCGCGTATACATGTAGCTGCAATTCAAAACAATTCAAAACATGATTCAGCAACTTTTGATTTGAAATTGAGATCCTAGACTGCTTTTTTTCTCGGAATATACAGCTGAAGCTGAGCTGAAACTTCATCAGGTTAGTTGTTCAGTATCCTTCATTAGATTTTGAACACTTTTGTTGCTTCAAACGAACAAAATGCACAAATCTTTAATGATGGACTATATCTTTAATGAATGTTAACTCATCAGCCAGTGTACATGTACATGTATTTTACATAGAGAAGAGAAATCCTTAACAAACTACAAAAATGTCTGATGTTCTCTTAATGTACCTTAGTACATGTATCTAGTAAGTCATGTACATGTACAATGTAATTCAGTGTTGTATGCCTGATAGTCATTACTCATTTTTGAGACCACATCCGGTTGTATCCATCAACCTGCTGACAGGTGCACAACCTTTTAATCAATTAAGAACTGACTGCACAAGGGACCCCTCTGTCTTGTCAATTGGCAGTGTATGGAAAGCAACTGGGGCCAATTTCACGGCGCTGCTTAGCACAAAAATTTGCTTAGCACAAAAAAAAACTGGCTTATAAAAGCAGGTTAACAGCCAAAACTCCACGTAATGTATATTGCTCGTGATTAGTATTCAGCTGTTGTTTGCTTAGCATGAAAATCACATGGAGTTTTGGCTGGTAACCTGCTTTTATAAGCCAGTCTTTCTTTGTACTAAGCAAATTTTGGAGCTTAGCAGCACCGTGAAATTGGGCCCTGATGTGTACATGTTTTAAGCATTACAATGTTAGAACTCAGATTACAATAAAATTGAAAACCCTTAGTTTGTTTGTGGACATAAAAAAAACTCTTATGAAAAAATAATTGTCAAATTTTGATAAATTTGCTATGTAATGTTGGAAGAATTATAGTTTTACAAAAGTGAAAATATTTTTGATAGTCCAGAGAAACCAAAATGTTTTTGTTTTAATTGGTACATTGTAATACATACATGTAATATATATTCTCATAACAAACCCTCTTAAAACATGATATTTATATGGATTTTTGTTCAGGGATATAACCGTAATGAAAAACGAATGTTTGTAGTTGGAGCTCGTTATTTCCTCCATGACGCATGGTATCCTTTCCCTTCCTGTTGTAAACCCATTAGTAGTTTTTATGTCAACAGAGATCAGGTATGATTTATAATTAGAGTGGGTGTTCCTGTGGTTGCAAGCCTTATTGTTCCTCATCTGTTGTCAAAGGCAATTTCCCTACAGATGTTCACAATTTGGGTGTGTTCGGCAGATGTCCTAGAACTGATAAACACTGAAGAATATTTTAAGTTAGAATGAATGTTTGTTTTTAATGTTAAAAAATGTGGCAGTGAAAATTTGAAGACAGCGTAGGCTGGTCAGCATGCAAGATACATGTAAATGTAGAGCTAACTTGCGTGTAAGATATTTATACTTTCAAATATGACAAATACATGTTTCAAATATGACAATACAAGTTGCACAGTTTGCAGTAAAACTATTAACAATACAAATACACAGTTGGATTGACCGAATTTCTGACTGACATAATTTTGTACCTTTGAGGGTTTATCATCTCATGGGATATCTCTTGTTGTCATCATCTATTATGGAATGTCTTTAGTTTATCAGAAATTTTGGGTGGGGGGGGGGGGGGGGTCCACAAACATTGATGGGGGAGTGGTCATTTAATATTTGATTATTGGCATGCATACACCATATCATGAATTTTGCTAAAATTGAGCTCAAAAGATTTTGTTTCCCCGTCCTATGTTAGCTTTTTTTAGCTTGGTCAGTTAACGCATATTTTTTTTTAGCTGGGTCAGGATTTATCATGAATTGTGGAGCACCATGGCCCTGTGGTCTGGAGCATTGAACTCGCAGTCCGCAGGTAATTCTGCAGGTTATGGGTTCAAGTCCAGCCTGGGGTTATGGTGCGTGTGCCCTTGGGCAAGGCATTTTGTCACTCATTGCTTCTCTCCACCCAGGAGTAACTGGGTACCTGTGAGGGCACAGATGGTTTTTGTGATTGATTTTAGCTGCCTTGCACCGAAATGGCAGCATTGAGCTGTATACTCCCCGAGGAGCTGAGATGGTATTTGGAATATTTTATTGGGCCAATGAGCAGGGTAATAATGGATAGGCTGAGCTATGTACTTTAATTAATGATTTTATGTATAATACTTGATAAACACAATGTCTTATATTGCACTTTTTTCTTTTCTCCCTTTCTTTAGATGGTTTCACGGGAAAATCACGAGGGAAGAAGCCGAACAGCTACTGGAGCCATGGGTAACCGGGTCGTTCCTAGTGAGGGAGAGCACGCATTACCCGGGAGACTACACACTGTGTGTTTGCACCGACAACAGAGTGGAACATTATCGAGTGATAAAGGATCATCAACGGAAACTGACTATCGACGAGGAAGTCTTCTTTGATTCGTTGCCGGAGTTGGTTGCTGTAAGTTGGTGGAAATATTCTTCACTTTGTTTTATACATGTACATGTATGCGTTGCCGGACGTCATGGTTTTTAATGTTTTTGCTGCACCCGATTTCACGAAGGGCTGCGACGTGTCGCAACTTGAGTTACGACGTGCAACACCATTTCACGAAAGTTGCGATGTGTTGAACGCGTCGTAAGTTCCTTGACAACAGCTTAAAACACGTCGCAAGTTATGACGTTTCTAGTGGTCATCGCAAAAAAAAGAAAAGTCCCTTTCTTAGCCAGTTTAATGCCATAAACATTACATAAACGAGATTATAATACCAAGGCAATGTGTGTAAAGTTGTAAATAGAAAACTCATTGACTAATTATGAATTAGACTGGAATATCGCAGTTGAAATTTCAAAGTAGCTATACAGTCCACTGAGAGCTTGTTTTCCTTCAAAGTTGCGACGCACGACCACCATTTTGTTTTACGTTTTAACAAATTTTGAGCTGAGATCCGATGACTCTTTGTTGAAAATCAGACGACTATTTACTGTACACTGACTTAATACCTAAAACAGTCACCGAGTTGTGCTATAAATACACATACGACGCGTCGCACGTACAACGTGTTTTGTGAAATGGATCGCAGGACGCGTTGCAGCTGCGACGCATCGTAGAGATACGACGCGTCGCAGCGCTGCGATGCATCGTAAGTTACGATGAGTTTCATGAAATCGGGTGCTGGTCCCAGAGAGTCAGCCTAGTGTTCTCTTTGTACCTATACAACTAAATGTCAGTTGTCACTTGATCTGGGCAGTGCTATCATATAGGATTCCTTGGCAATGCCGATGAATAGGCTAAGTCTAGCTCATTGTGTAGACTAATTGCACGAAAAGACTTCCCGTGAATAGCCATTCGGAATCAACTGAAGGGAATATTGTGTATTTTGGATTTCGTGAAGCATTTGTCTAACCTAAGTCATATTTGTTGTCTCCCAATAGCATTATACAGAGGATGCTGATGGACTAGTAAGCCGTCTCATTACTCCTGTCAATAAAGCTGGAGGTGACGGATATTCCAAACAATTTGAAAAAGGTAAGATTTAAACCACAAAAAAAATCCTTTAACCCTAACCCCCTAGGCCCTTTTGGCCAGGAACCATCCTCAGTCCTGCAAAATCCTCCAGTTGCCACCATGTAAAAATTGGGTTCAGCCTCAATCCTCCAACATCATCTGTTGTTTCTTGCATTTGTTCAGTGGAGGGGTGACCATTGCCTCAATCCTTCAAAATCTTCCATCAATTACTGTGGTTGAGGTCACATTCAGGGTGATATCGAGCATAATACATGATGCGTCCCAACTGGCTCTCATAGGAAAGTGCACATTTAACCAAAGGGTGATGTCATTAGGTCTTAGGACTATTATACAGGACTGAACATAAACAATGCTGGGTACAGCCTACGAACTCGACACAGTGCATCCTTCAAAATCAACCAATAATTTTTGCCATTCAGCGTCAATCCTGGATTTTGGAGGATAGAGGTTAGGGCTAAAAAAAAAAATAATATGAATTGAAGTGAATTACCATATCAATGCATTATTTCATTTTTATCGTCATTTTTGTTTTTTTTGATCGGGATTTTGCTCCATTTCTGTTTGGTAATGCATCAAACGGCTCAAAAATTAATTGAGTATCAATTGTCATTGAGATATTATATGCAACGCTGTGGTCCAATGGTTACAGTTTTTCTTGCCGTGGTACGCGGGTTCGAACCCTGACGGGGAACATGGTGCTTGTTTTCTTGGGCAAGACAGAACACCATGGTCCAGTGGTTACGGTGTTTGACTCCCGCACGATGGTGCGTGGGTTCAAATCCTGCCAGGAACTTGGTGTTTGTGCCCTTGGGTAAGACACTTAACTACAATTGCCTCTCTCCACCCAGGAGTATTAATGGGTAACCGTGAGGGTCAAAGACTGATTGAGCGCTGATATCAGCTGCCGCGTGGTCCCATGGCCTGGTGAACGGGATAATAATTGTAAAGCGCTTTGAGATTGTTGACACGATGGAAAGTGCTATATAAGCACTAGGATTATTATTATAGGCACTTTACTACAATTGCCTCTCTCCACCCAGGAGTATAAATGGGTACCTGTAAAGGTAGAGACTACAATACGCTGATCTTGAGCTGCTGCAAAAACTGGTCTCATGGTCTGATGAACAGGGGTAATAATTGTGAAGCGCTTTGAGACCTTTGGTACCACATTATACACGTAAAAGTACCACTAAGGAGACAGGGTATTGTAATTTCTTTGAACGGTGGGAGACATCGGTCATAAGGGAGACATTTTCATGTCTCCCTAATGTCACAGCCCCCCTTTAGAGGCACAATTTTATTGTCGCAATTAGGTTATATTTGTTGCTCTTGGTCTAATCAGTAAACATACCAAAATTCGTGGAAAAGGACAAGGGAATATCGAGTTAGGGCACTTTTAAATTAAAATTTTTTTGTGCACAAGTCTATGGGGATGTCTCCCAAATGTCTAATCCAGGGTAATTATTGTTATTATTATTATTATAATTTCAAATTACAGAAGATTATCTAGTTTCCACTAAATTGAGGAAACACTTTAGTATTTAGGATTAAATTACGTGTACAAATATTTCAAAAAAAGGATAAAACATTTATATATTTGTATGTGTCTCTTCGAATTTCTCCTCTCTCCAGCTGGCTGGTCTATTGATAGGAAGCTCATCACATCTGGTAGAGTCATCGGCAGAGGCAACTTTGGAGGTAACTTCTCTATCTTTAAGTCTGAAGGAATTTGAGAGGAATTTAGTTTTTCACCTTGACCAAAGTGTAGCACTTTTGTACTGGGACCATCTTTGAGATAAGGCTCTTTTCATGTAGATATTATGTGGTAGAGTTTATATAGAGTGAGATCTACCACGCCACAGTTATCTATTTTTGTTAGGATGCAACCTCAATCCTGCAACATCCTCCAACTGCCTCTATGTGAAAATTGCATACAGCCTCAATTCTCAAAAATCCTCCATTATTTCTTGAATGTGGTCCTTGGAGACGTGACCACTGCCTCAATCCTGCGAAATCATCCAGCAATCTTGGCCAATATGTTGAGGCAGAGCCAGTGACATCCTGGAGCAGTGCAGAGGATTTGAAGTGATAATCTAGGCCTAAATTTATGCACGGCTGAACATAAACAACACAAGGTCCGGCCCAAGACCTTGACACAGTGCAGCCTCCAAAATCAGCCATACTGGGTACATTTTTGCCTTATAGCTTCAATCCTGCAAAATCCTCCATATTGCAAAGACGATTGTGGAGGAATGGGAAGGTTAGGGTTAAATTCTTGCAAGAAACTTCACAGACTTTTGTCAATTCGTGCTGAAAGTCAAAACCTATATCTGAATGCGTAACGTCCATAACGGTCGCTTAAACTGCTTCTATGTTATCAATTAATTCATTAGTTAACCATGCAATGTCATTCATTAAGGCCCAAGCTAGAGTTGTACCGAAAATATAAAATTTGATTTCACTGCAAGTATTTTATTTTGTTTTAAAATTGATCTGTAACGATGGAATCGCCAAAAGTGAAAAAAAAAAATCCTTTAGTCTTCGTACGTTCTCCTTGAGTTGTGAAAATAAGAAATATGTGATGTGATCAAGCTAAATGAGTCGTTTGTCGGGAATTTTTATTTGGAGATTCAGGCCAAAATAGGGCTATTTCGTCACATCACTTCATCACATCTCTTGGTGTTCCGACTTCCATAATTTTTGAACTAAAGATGGTATCAGCATGCAGTTTTCACAGCAGTAATGCTGAGATTGTGCTCTTTTCAAATCTGTAATAAAAATTTTTGACCAGGGTCGACAAACGACTCATTTAGCTTGATCGCATCACATATGAAGACCATTACATGACATGCTTCTTGTGACTTAATACTTGCTACTTGCAACAAGTCATTCGGTCAGCAATTTGACCTAAATAATTCTTGTTTTATTCCTTTTGCAGAGGTGAGAAAGGGAACGTACATGGGGAAAGACGTGGCCATCAAAGTGACGAAAGATGACAAGATTCAGGCGCAGAGCTTTCTTTCTGAAGCATCTATCATGACGTAAGTTCTTGCTCTTGTGCACCAAAAAAATGTTTATAATAATAATTATAACTTTATTTATTGATGGTAGCCATGTCACCTCGGGGATCGAGTTTAAATTGTTAAGGCAGGAAGGGTCGTAATAAAATCTATTACAGTTAATTGTGCTGTCTTCAGAGCTAGTACTGGTGCACATTGTAACATAACTCAATGCCATGGAAACTGAAACTGAAACCTAACACAAAATTGAGATTTCTTATTTGTGTACAACATGAAACTTTTAACTGAATGGTCTTCCCCATGCAAATTATGATCCAAAGTGAGACTTTGGACCTGTCCTTTTAATATTGTTATTTGATCAAATTAAAATTTAAGTTCATTAACCGCGTATGGATACAGTTACATGTAGCTATCCTTGTAACCGTATGTAATCATTGCACTTTTCAGTCAGAAATTGTGAAGTAAGTTTTTTAATTTGTAAATTTGTAGCACTTACAAACTGTGTTTTTTACCTGAAAACTAATCTAAAGTACAATTGTGTGGGCAGATAGCAGTTACGGACAATCAGCATTGTAAAATTTGCATTGCTCGTGCGCCACAAATGCACCAGTACTAGTTTATTAATCCTAACCCCCTAGGCCCTTTTGAGTAGGAACCATCCTAAATCCTGCAAAATTTTTCAATTGCCACCAAATGCAAATTGGATTTAGCTTCGATCCTCCAAAGTCATTTGTTATTTCTTGAATTTGTTCTGTGGAGCGGTGACCATTGCCTCAATCCTTCAAAATCCTCCACCAATCACTGTTAATGGGTTGAGGCAGTGCCGATGACATTCAGAAGCAGTGCAGATGATATCGTGCATAATGCAGGACTCAGTTATGTATGGGTAATAAACAGTGCAGGGTACAGCCTATGAACTTGACACAATGCATCAACCAAAATCTACCGACAGTTTTTTTGCCATTCAGTCTCAAACTTTGTCTGACCAGAGACCGAATAATTTTTTTGTGGCCTTATATGACAATTTTTTCTGGCCTGTGTCACCTTGCAGACAATTAAGGCACGACAACTTGGTTCAGTTGATCGGCGTATCACCTGGAACTAGCATATGGATAGTACTGGAATTTATGTCCAAGGTGAGTTCAAATAAAGATGATGATGTTACCAGTCACAAAAGATTAAAGGTCAGCACGATGAAGTCAGCAATGAGACTAGTAGTTTGCCATTGCACTGTGTCACATGAAACATTGAGTTTCCCTTTGTTTCTTTTCAGAAAAATATAAACTCACAAAAGAGTTAACTTATCACAAGGTGCAAACGCATATTTACCAGGGTTTGACCTTAGCGATAGTCCGCTCGCCAAATGCGAGTAAAAACAGCGGCGGACTAGTCAGAACCATTCCTTTAATAGTCCGCCTGGCAAGCCAAAATTATTGTAAATAATATTGCTGTTTATGACATTCTGGTTCAAAAATGTAAAATTTCTATTGCGGACTAGTGAAAAGGCCCTTGGACTAGATAAGAGTCTGTTTCACTAGTCCAGCTGGCTATTTAAACAAAAATAAAATAAAGGGCGAACCCTGATATTTACTCTTACCGTTACCAGTCATTCTATCCCCTCAGTAAAACTCCATATCAGGAGTTTTAGTGGATATTTATTTTGCTGCCTCCTGGCGAGAGCTAGCCCATCGTCCTCTGTGTACCTGACTGACTCATTGACCGACTCACTGACTGTCACTTGTGAATTAGACTTGCTTACATGTCTCGCCTTTGCCAAAAAGTTTGAAGAACAAACACCCCGTTATGCCAATGAACGGCTAAATCTGGCCCATTGCATAGGCCACATGCATGACAAGAACCATTCTGAATCAATTGGATAGAATGTTGTGCGCTTTGTGACCAGCTTTAGTCGTCTTGTATCATCTTGTTTTAATATGTAGGTGATTAATGCATTTGCTTCTATTTTACTATGACTTACTTTGTTGAATCGAGAATTACTTCAAAAGTCACAATTGAAAAAGAGCTGGAATACTTGATTCTTTTTCAGGGTAATCTACTAGACTACTTGAGATCCAGGGGAAGAACAGTTATCAGACAGCTCGACCAAATCAATTTTTCTTTGTAAGTATTAATTAAGTTTGATTAGCAATGAAGAGTATGACAACTCTGGCTGTCAAGTTGGACGTGGACGAAACTATGTTTGCTGCCTAAAGATCTTCCCAAAGGATGGAGAATGTTATTTAAGGTGTCCTGACGAATTTTCAACTAACGCTTTAAAGGGCCCATGTAATGTAATTGTTTTAATGCAATCCTTGAAAAACACCTTTGTGTCCCATTTAACCTAACTTTCCATTTTCATGTTGCCATTTTTAAGGCATTTTGGTGCCTTTTTTGGTTATTATGGTGATGCAAATTTCCATGTTCATGAGCAAAAGTGTGATGTCATTTTAGGCAGAAACCTTAATGTTCCAGCTATTTCAGCACCAATGTTTGCCAGAATTTGGGATATTTTGCTGTCGTAAATGTTCTTTTCTTTCGTGATTCATTGTTTCAGTACATGACAGTAAGCCAATGAGCAAAATTTTCTCACAAATGTTTTCAATGAGCAAATTTTGGGTTCACAATTTGAACAGAAAACCCCTAAACTGAACAGTGTCTTCCTGAAATGACGTCACAGCAATAGCAGCCTCATTTGTCAGGATAAGCATGGGAAATGTTTAATGTTTTAAAAAGTGCACTTTTCAATAAATTTAACCAAAAAGGGATGTCTAATAGTTTCATACATTTAAGACAAGTATAAAATGCACAAAATATGTTCCCAAGTAAAATTCATGCCATGGCCCTTTAAATATTGAGAGGAAGTTACAAGGCACATTCATATTTTCAATGTTATTTCAATTTATTTCCCGTTTATTCAGGCATATAGCATGTGGAATGAATTACCTTGAAGAGAGGAAATTTGTCCACCGAGACCTTGCGGCCAGAAATATCCTGGTATCGGAAGAAGACGTCGCCAAAGTCTCAGACTTCGGTTTGGCTCAACATGACAGAGAGAAGGCCGAGAAATCCAAGATTCCTGTCAAATGGACGGCCCCGGAGGCAGTCAGGAAAAAAGTAAGTACCTAACTTAGGCACCGGCCCAATTAGAGATCATTGTACAAGGATGAGTGATTTATAAGACGTCCAAAAAACCCCAAAATGTTTAGAAAGAGTTGTGTTGGTCCTTGTTGTAAAATTATAACATCTCATTCATCAAAAGCAACCTGACGAGGGACTAGAGTGAGGGTAAGATGGGATGAAAAGGATAGTTATTATGATAAAGTGAGTTGCTTAGGGACATACGCACTAAAACAGAACCACATTCTTCAAACCTTAAGCTAAAACAAAAGTTGAAATTACTTCCTATCTGCTATACCATGTACAGCAATTTTTATACTCTTACAGCTTATTTTTGCAATTCAAGAGAAAGCAGATGCATTGAAATTAGTGGTGTACATTTACGGGTAGTACGGGAACCCCATTGAAGTAAAACACGGGTAAAGAAGCCCAACCCCAAAATTGAAATCTCAGAAGTTGTCTGAAGGATTTTATCCGCTCCGTTCACAAGTATCCCCTCACCGGCAAACAAAGTACAGTTGGGGGTGACCGACCGACGCCATCTTGCCTGACTGCAATTTTGCCGCAAACCGCGGCCGTACCACTGCATGTACATAGTACAAATCCCCCGGTGTACGTGCGTCACACACATGGAACGGTGCAAGTCAACCAGCTAAATGTCCCGCCCATGCATGGGACGTCGTTGCTAGGTAAAAAGGCGCCCTCTTTCGTTGGCGCACAGAGCCCATAGCTTAGCAGTTTGAACTGCAACTTTTGAGAGCGTTATCTGTCGCGCATTAAAATGCACATACAACGAGAAATCTGTTTTTGGTTTTCCGTGTAGTCTGGTTTTCATTTTGAAAATTCCCCACAAATGGCATTCAAAACCTTTTTCATTGCCTTAGAAGTTACTAAGTTATTTGCAAAGTTGGGTATGAGTACCCAATCCTATAATCTTGAACTGGTTCCTGACATCAACGGTCGAGTACTGGGATACGCGGTTCCTATGCACACCCCATCTCGAACTGATCCTCTATGGGTGGCATGGATGGCTTGTGCGTAAAGCGCTCGCCTCTCACCAAGGTGACCATGGTTCGAATCCTGGCCACGGATCGCATGTGAGTAGAGTTGTGTGTTGGTTCTCTCCTGTGCCACGAGGGTTTTATTCCGGGCCTCCCGTTTTCCTCTCTCCGGAAAAATCAAACACTTTCGATCTCAGGCTGTGCTCAGTGGTCATATATGGGTCGATGTGGCCGGCAGCCATAGGCGCCTTTACGTGCCAGCGGCCCGACCACGTTGTAGCCGCATCCTTCGCAATTCAGCATACCATTATTATTATTATTTTTATCTGTTTGTTCATACAGTTTTATATGTTTTTTGGGGTTTTTTTGGTAGACATATTCCACCAAGTCCGATGTCTGGAGTTATGGCATTCTCTTGTGGGAACTCTACTCCTTTGGAAGAGTACCCTACCCTCGTGTGGTAAGTCCAAACACTTTTGAGATTCCTTTAGGTGTTTTAGATTCCTGTCCTAAAATACATTTGGTTCATTCAATAAATTGAGGGTCCACAATGTGACATTTTAGCTGCAGAAAGCAGCTCAAGAGATCTCTCTGTTGGTTGGTTAGTAACAAACGTCAGCACATGCCTTCTTTGGCAACCAATCACCTTTCTCCGTAGGCCTTCGCAACAACATGTGCTACAGGTTTCCATTGACCAGTACCAGTTACCAATTTATTGCAGTCGTGGAAAATTGGGTCACGAGGTCACTCATGTCGCGTTGGGGTTAGCACTGTACTGCTCACAAATTGGGTGTTCCGCATGCTATAAAACGCTCCGTGCACCAACTGACATTCAACAAAATAATGGGAATCCTTTTTGATTGACAGTCACGACCACGTGAGTAGTTGTGCATTATAAGAACAGACTTGTACATGAGTTATAGTTAAGTGTCATTAAGAATAACTTTAAACAATTTTTTTTATTTGTTGGGTAGGTAGTTTGCTATTCATAATCACTCTTGAAGGACGACTGCATTAAAAAGTGTATTAGAATTAGTAAATAGTCCATGTCAGATTTTACAGGGACAGGACAAAAAGTGGACTCCAAATTTATTGAATATCCCATAATTTGCCAAAATTTAGTTCATTAGAATTAAAGCCCGAGTCCATCATTTGCAGCTATCCAAAAAATAACTGGCGTAATTATTGTTGAAAAACATACTTGGTTGAAAGATAGTAAGGGGACTAAACTCCCTGTGAAATTATTCTTTATGGCAAGCTGTCATTTTGAAGAAATCAACGAAAGAAGGCCTTTCCAACGGTGCTTCTTAAGACGCACTGTAGGAAATTCAACCTAGTAGTTCGTTTTGATATTCGGCGAAGCGCGCGCAAACATTGGCACGACGCACACGCGCACACGGTTGCTATAATTCGCCGGATCGGTGCGCGACATCGCTTAGCTGCAATCGGCTCAGTGGGAACGTGTCTCGGACGCTGAATTCAGGCCCAATTCAAAACATGATTCAGCAACTTTTGATTTGAAATCGAGATCCTCAATGTTGTTTTTCTCGAAAAATGCAGCTGAAGCTAAGCTGAAACTTCATCAGATTGGTTGTTAAGCATCCTTCTTCAGATATTGAGCACTTTTGTTGCTTCAAACAAACAAAATGCACAAATTACAAATGATGGACTGTACCTTTAAGTAGTGAAGGTGTGCGGTAACACCATGTGGAAATCTCTTTTTGGAAGATGGGTGGTTCTGAAAAGATTCGGTTGGTTGTAAAACTTGACGTTCCGATCAGTATGCTCTGATCGTCTTCAGGAGAAGAGACAAGATAGAGTGCTTTCTAAGTCTTTTTTTGTTGTTGTTTGTTTTATTGACAAACTTTAGCCTGCAGATGACGTCATAAAGTTTGTGGAAGACGGTAACCGAATGCAGCCGCCTGACGACTGCCCCGACACCGTCTATGACGTCATGAACAGATGCTGGAAGTTACAGCCAGAAAAAAGACCAACGTTTCGCCAGATCGAATCAAGAGTAATGGAACTGAGGCGCTTACTAAAAGAAGAACAGCGAGGGATGGAGTCAGCGTCTTAGAAGGCCGAAAGGTCAGACATCAAATCGTGGAATTATTGGTCTTCTGATGCAACTTGACACACGGCCAGTCTGATCAAAAAAAATGTGTGCGTTTTGTGATTGAGAAGACTCTTTATTTTGACCATTTCTACGGCATGTCCCTACATGCAGCTGTGTTTTTTTTTTTTTTTACTGTTTTGTTACTTATTTTCCCCACAAGTGAGACCCAGAATGCTCCAGGGTGCACCGTGAACTCTTTCATTCACAGAAACGTTGGAAGTTGTATTCTTCTTGAAATGCACCTCAGGAAATTCCCAACAAATAAAAGCCAAAAACAAAACGATTACATGAGCTTTTTGTGCTGTCATTTCCCCATCAACGTCAGTTTAAAAATTCATTATTTTGCCTCTAGATTTACGTGCCTCTGTATTGTTAAGGCATTGTAAAAGATAGTCATTCTGCAAACAGTCTTTATTGCTGTTCCAATGTGATGGGTTTTTTTTTATATCAAGAGTGTTTGCTTTAAACTCAAACACACAAACAAGGAACAGAAAACTTTTCAATAAGTTGGTCATCACTTCCTCTTTAACCGTTTTAAAGACTAGCTTGAAGATTTTGAACCAATAAGCACCGTCGATATTGGAACTTTCATTAATCAATATATTGGAAATTCAATATCGAGAATATTCGATATATCGATTATCCCATGTAAATGTAGGTGCACTATGATAAAAAAAAAAAAAAATCTGAAGTCCCAATTTTCCGTGTTTTTTTTTTCTGGAGCATATTGCTCAAACCTTTTAAACCAAATCTCAGCACTGAGAGTTTGTCCAGAACGGGCGGTTTCTTTTGAGGTTTCACATTAGGGAGACCGCAAACTCCAGCAAACGCAGAGCAGCACAGCTTGCTACCAAATTTTATTTCATTATACAGCGAATGTTAAACACAAAGTAAAAGCACAAACAGGAGATTTATTTCGAAGATCATTTGATGCATTTTCGATAAGTACGATATCATTCCTTAATATCGAAAGTTTCGATATTTCGATATGATTTAAAAATTGCTATCGGCGATATTGATATAAAAGTAATATCGACTAATCGAGTAATACGATATATCGACGGTGCTTATAAATCAGCAGTTACTTTTTCATTTCTGTTCTTAAAAAAAAAAAACCCAAAATGCACTCGCACTGTTTTTTTTATCAACTATAAAGCAATGTTTGATGTTTACTTTCTATTCAAAAGTCAATATTGACTTTTTATTTGAGTAGCTTTTCCTATTTCATGTTGAGAACTTAGCAAAATATTGTTTTTGTAGCGAAACTAACTTAGATATCAGGCTGGCCCTGTTCTTAGCATGTACTGAGATTGAGATGATTGATGCATGGACTGTCAATGATAGTACAGTAGTACTTTCATCATCGTCCACCTGCAGTGGCCCAGGTTCATATCCCACCTTGTACATCATGAATATCGGCTATATCAGGAATTTTCCTTGCTTTCCTTTAAGGCAATATACATGTACAACATTATGCAAACATCTAAAAACTACCAAATTATTATGAAATACCTTACTTGACTGCAAGTGAATAACAGTCTGAAGCATCCTGTGATTTTCAAGAAAAGTGGAATTGTATCGATTGCCAACAATGATCGGCTGACCAACGTTGGAAAAAAACCTGACTGCCCCAATTTAACAAATTTTAGTTAGTCCCCTTTTTTTTGCTGTCGGTTACACATCCGTGAACGGGTGCAAGCCAGCTAGTCAGGGTCCCTGACCTGACAATTCCCCGACATTTATAATTGCTCAAGTTCATCTGAAGTAAGGTCAGGGAACCAGACTACAAGACCAGCATTTTTTTCTTGGTTTTTCCAGCATCTATGCACAGAAAACTTAAACAGGTCAGTGTAACAGTATTTGCTATAAAATACTTACCCCCAAATCCATCCATTTTTGAATTACAGCAAAAGCAAATTTTTTAAATTACATGTAATTTTAAACTGAAATGTTTCTTCCTTCTTATTTCTCATTCAAACTTGGGATCTGAGTGACAACGGGTGTCAATTTCAGATAAACAGAAGGATAAGCAGAAAGCAAAATGTGCTAAGCCAGAACCAGATGGGAACCAGTCACATGCAGCATACATTGCATGACAATTTGGCTGGTAAACGGTTTTTGCTCAGCATACATTGTCTGCGCTTAGCACTGAATACGGGATATTCCCAATACAGTGCGCCACCAAGAGGTTGCCGCGGAGGGTCCATTATTCAAGTTTACGGTCGACAAAAACATGGCGGACTTGCTGCGATTTTGGACGAATGTCAGTTGACAACTTGAGGAAAGTTTTGATAGATCGTGGCAAAGCATTCTACCGCCTCACAGAAAAAAACACCATCTTGATAAAAAGAAAAAGAAAAGAAAAAGAAAAAACCTTGAATCGTACGCTTACGAAACTACTGATCGGACAAACTTACAATTTTACGTCACGTGTGTCTCCCACAATGCACTGTGAAAAATTGACTCTTGGTGGACTGTGGTTACCTCTTGAGGGCGCACTGTTTTGGGAATCGTCCGTTTTGTTTGTGCTTAGTACTTGGCTCCAGTGGAATTGGCCCTAGTGCTCAAGCGCTGGGTTGTATACTAGAGCTGGGCGTTGACGAATAATTTGGTATTTGATTATTTCAACTTGGACTTGATTTGATTGAATATTCAAATATTCAATTTCAAAATGTACTGATCAAGTAACAAATGCACCAGCCTAAACTGGCCGCCAATCAGGTTTTGTGCGCACCTGCCCTTGTAAAAAAATGACAAACGAGCTTTTGGAAATAATGTACATGTAAAGAAAAAGTAGCAGAATGGCTGATATTTGAGCGATTTTAGAGAAGAAAGTTAAAGCTAACATTCCTCAGTGAAACCTCAAAAGTCTTGTGTGAAGTGGCTTTCAATTGATTTATACGATTGATATAACATCGCGGACAGTTTTCATCATCTGCCCGAGACCGCTCACATTTTTTTCAATATTTGAATCATAAAACTGCCATTCAAATATTTGATCAATGATCAAATATTCAAATATGCAGTTTAACCGGCACAGCCCTACGTGTACCCAGAATAATGACCGCTTACTCACGTCCAAGGTTGTTAACTTTCCTTCCCCCTTCTTCCACAGCTCCCACCAGGATGGGTCTCATCCTGTGTGGATAGCACCATACCTCATTTGCCTCCAGATAAATGGAGTAAATTCAAAACATTTGAATTTGACAAGTCCAAAGTGGAGAGTGTCATGTTTGTGCAAGTGTGTAATTAATATAAGATCCAAATTATAATCTGAACGGTAAAAATAATGGATGCTAGTGTATTCCAAACTCGCAGTTTAATGCAATAACTGGGGATGCATTTAATTTTGACAGAATACCGTTAAGCAGAAGTTGATGCAGGATGGATTTTTTTCCCAAGTATTTTCGTAGAACATTATTTTATTGGATTTTTGTACATTATAATCAAAATGGTGTGTATCCACTCACTATGTAAAATGTTTTTGTTTTATATTCCACATGCGTAAGAAAATTTCAATCATGTATGCCTGTATGTTTTGTTACAATATTTTCCTTGTCTTTTCCAAAAACCTGTTATCATTTCACAATATGTTCTTTTTACAGGTTGTCCCACAAAAAGCCTAATGGTTGAATCGGGCATGTTTTCAGAAAAGTGGGGGTAGTATTCAAAATCGTGTCTAATGTATTGCTGAGTAGAATAATTGGTCTTCCTAATGCTTTTAAGTTGGTTTCATTAGGATGTTTTGTTCAAAAGATACAGCAATCACAATACAGGACTTGAAAAACCACTTGGGCCACTTGTTTTATTTATCAAGTTTACAGATCGAAGCTGGTAGAATAAGTCACACGTTACTCTTGAACAAAGGTCAAAAATCCTTTGGGTGTTTCTCTAACTGCGCTTTCTCGCTGTCAAGGAAAGTGGTCCAAGACGATTGTCAACCCTTGAGTTCGATGAAGCATAGCGTTTGTTCCAATGCATCGATTTGAATGAAATAAAGTTTGTATGGTAGATTGGTTATCTGACTTTAAGAGGTAATTTTAAAATATTCCAAAACTCACATGCAATATATCTTTATTAATTAGTTTTTGACTTTCTTTGTGGGGCAACCTGTATAAACCTTTTTATTTTAGAATCAGTGAGCAGAAGTTTAAGATTGATTCTGTGCTGATGTTTAGCAAAAGTAATTTTGAGCCAAAGTTTGATTTTGTGCTTATGTTTAGCACAGTAATCACAGCTGTATATATTTGCTACTGCCATGGAAACTTTCAAATGCTATTCCCAATCTAACATGCAAGTTCACGATAAAAAGTTGTACAAAAATGTGTATAAATTAATTTTCTTTCTTACCAATGGAAACACTATATTTCTGATTTCGAACGGAATTCATCATGATTCTTATTCATTTTACAATTTTGCTCACTGAAAACAGCATTTTAACCTTAACTTTTGCAGTTAAAAAAATTCAAGGTTTGAAATTTCACGGGGAAGAAAATCATGAGTTTTGAAATTTCGAAACTGTTTCCATGAGTATTTCTATGCTGTTCGTGATGTGCAAGAAAGATATTTTTTACTGTATTTATTGTGAGCATCAAGTTAGATATTGAAATAATCTCTTTTAGGTTGGACGTTTGCAACAAATTTGTATATTTTGCATTAAAATCAAGACAATCTTCATAAGAACATTGTGCAAGTGAGCCATTTTGAAGTATTTATCAAGATGGTTCTTAATTTGCTTTTTACGTTTCTGTTCCATGTTCTTTAAAATTCATGCTTATTTCAGTCCCTAACTTTGCGGAATTTATGATGTGTTAGTATGTATGTGTGATAACGTTTTTTATCTTCAAATTAGACCTTTTTTTTAGCAGAAGATACCATGGTTCTATTTTTGTACTAGTCTATCTTAGAATAATTAAGAAGTGATTGATAATTAAGCATTTTTTACTTGCCAATACTCAGAATTAGAAAGAGAAAACTGTATGTTTTGTTCTTTTGTCCTTTTCTTTTGCTGTACTTTTAATGGTGCATAGAATGTGTTCTTTTTATGTTGAGTTATAATTTTGCAAGAAACATGCCAAATTCATCATACCTGTTACTAGGGCTGTGCATTCGGAACCAGGTATCCAAATACCGGTACCCAACTGCTGATGTCAGGAACCGGTTCCAAATTATGGGATCAGGTACCCGTAACCAACTTTACAAGTTACTTAGTAACTTCTCAGACAATCAAAAAGAAGGGTTTTGAATGTCATTTGTGGAGAAATTTCAGAATGAGAACCAGGCTACATGGAATAACAAAACAGATTCACCTTGATGACGCTTGTGAAAAAGCAACATCGTACAACTCACTGAATGTACTAGCTCACTTTACACGCTAGTATTTTGCTGCATTGACGCAGCGATGTGGCAGTATTATCGTGTGGACCTTTATGTACAATCTGAACAGCAGCATCCGAGTTTTACATTTTGGGGTTAGGTTTCTTTCATGTGTACCTGGGTACCCGTGTTTTTTTCCAACCGGGTATCCGATTCCTGTACTATCCGTAAATGCACACCCCTACCTGTTACAGTCTGTTCAATATTAATTATTCTGCTAAGACAGAATATTTCTAGAAGAAATCTATCACAGGACATTCACAAGTCAAATCACAAGTAAGTAAGGGGGAATGGGAGTGCTGAAGGAACGCCTTTTTGTTGTAGTTCATTTGAGAAGCCTCTTAAGATGAATGTGACATGGGACATGTGATTGACTTGTGAGGACTTGTGAAGGACTTGGCTACATCTCGGCGTCAAGCTGGAAATGGGTGAGAAGATCTGATTGGAATAATAATTTTGTTGAAGAAAAGTTTTGCACTTTTTCCTTGGAAACTTTGCAGTGCTTGGTGAATGAAATTGTAGCCCATGATCCAAGAACAAGAAGCAGTCAATTTTAGTTGCTATTTTGTGAAAAAAAATGTCTTTGAATCTGTCAAATCTTCCAAAGCAGTTACAATTTGCTTTAGCTATGATTTTTCTGTCTTTCTTACTTTCGTTTGAAAAGAAATATGGTTACAGAAAAAAAAGTGTGTATAATTTCTTTTTAAGCCTGAAAATATGCTTGTAACTGTGTATTGTTTTAAAATGAATTGTGTTAAATTGTGTATGCTCTACTATTTGGCATGGGGAAATAAAGCTGAACGTGATTTGGCATTACATCTGTTGTATTGTGTTGTCTTCTGTTATTGGGTTTGAGGTTGGGTTGGGGAATTAGTGACTTTATTTGTAGGTTCATGGAGTCGAGTTGGGGTCATGTACGGCTACTTCAAGCACAAAACTGACAAGTACAGTCATGGAGGTAGAATTTTCAGATTGGAAATATTTTTACCTACAATTCCAATTGAAGGAAAAATCATTGGAACTCGGGACAAACTGCGTGTTTTTACTTTTTGTTTGTTAAGGGACATGTGGTAGGGAAAACAGGTAAAAGCCGTTGTCCAAAAACATGAATGACGTTCGAACAGTCGTCGGATTTCGGAGGTAAAAATAGTCAGATACCATTTTCTACTTCAGTGAAGTTCCGTCGTAAATGCATGAGGTACCGATCAGTCAATGCAACAGCGTTCTTGACAACGATTTTTGGTGAGATTGTCGGCAGCAAAAGTGGTGGAAAATGTACAACATAAAACGGTAATTATGCAGATATTTTGGACAGGCGTACAGAGCTGCAGTTGAATGGATATCTCATTGAGACAATCGAAAATTAAAAATGTTCTGCGTAGTATCTTTTAAGGGGGAATTCGTAACCGAAGTTTTGGCAGCAGAAATTAGGCTTGTTCCACTTCCACCATGTCCACTTCCAGTTGGTTGTGTACAAAGACTATGGCGCGGGGCCAAGTTGACTAGCAATAGCATGCCCGAGTAAACTTGGGCGATCGTGTATCTTGCCTACGGAGTACGGGTCCGGTTCCAGCATTAGGGAACAAAATCCACTTTTAAATTTATTGACCTACCAGTACCAAACTAGTTGGCGACATTAAAAACATGCAGAAGATCGAGAAACATGTCGTCATAGATCGAGGGCAGGGTTTTGAAATTTTGAGGGAAATTTGGGGTAAACATAGGCCTAGGCTTACTCCTAGAAGAACTATGAATCATGCTCATGCAGAGCATCATAGTTCTAGGAGTAGGGGTAAACATGGTAAAGGACGGTGACAACGACATCGCAACACGAAAATTAAGATGGCGATCACTGCGTGATGTACCGTGAACGCGCAAGGCAAGGCACCAACCATAAACCACGTAGGAAAATCGTAATTTCTACCCCAAGAAACTGTTCAAAATTACAAAAAAAGGTGTCATTAGAATTGAGAGAAGTCCTCTTTACTTAAAATGACCTTTAATAAAGGTCATTTTTGAGTAATAAAAAGCACCCTTGACTCTAATTTGATTGAAACTAAACAGGGGCCCTACACAGGCTACAGGCTACACTACACAATCGCCATTACTTGGGCCCAACTTATGGGGTTGTGTAGTTTAGGACATCTTTTTCTTATAAGTTCGTAAAGTGTTTTTATCGTTGCAAAATGACTTTTAGTTTGCAACCTCAAGCACTATTCTTTAAGCTCTAATAATATAAAAGCCTAGTTTTCATAATTTTCAACGGTGGTTTATTTTGGACTTTCCCTTTAAACTTAAAGTTTGAAAAAATCCTCCAGAACAATGAATCAGGGAAAAAAAAAAAAACGTTCTGCAATTATATAGGCGGACGCAAGTTTGCAAGACCTTGGGTCGATGCGAGGTGAAAACAAGCGATTGGAAATGCAGCTGTACATCGCGACCCCACGTTCACCTTGGGAATGTTTTCACCATGGCTATCAATGGCGGCAATTGGGGGAATTATGAACTGAGATGAAGGTTGCGTCCTATAAAGGAAGAAAACTCTCACTTTAGGAAGTTGGGAAAACCAAAATAAAAATGCCTTGCCAGCTCGAACCAATGTCATGCGGCCTACATCAAGCCACACGTTCCCTCAAAGCGAAATTTGGGTAATTGATTATCTCATAATGCGTACTTGTATAAATGCGCATACATTTGTGCAGATGAAGTGCCGGCACAAGAACTGACAAAAAGGCAGGACCTGTTCACGGTAATACACTTCGTTAGAAAAAAAGTATACCAAAACCCAATCTGAATGGTTACTTGCATGTCATCTCATGTCATTGTGTCTCTTATAATCTACGTATTTATTTTTGTAACCTACAGATGCTAAGACTTTAAGGTTTGTCATAAGTAAGGTAAAAGCCCACAGTAGACAACGCCATGATGTCACTGGAGAGAAGTATGAGTCCGGGTTCCATGGCAACCAGTAGTATCACAAGTAGTCAGATTGACCGAGCCCGGCCACCTGGGTCACTGGAGGAGTGGTTGGAGAAACAAAATATGAAATGGGTAGGTACAACTGTTGGTGTGATGATATTACCAAAACGGAAGACATTCGGAAAGAATGTTGCATTCTGATGCTACTTTCAAAACAGAAAAAAGACAATTTTTTGGGCTTATCTTGTACCTCAGAGAGTATACTTTCATGTGGGAAGTGTAGGGAATATGTTGATAAAGTCTTTAAGAGAGATTTGTAGGCGAATGTGTGGCCAACTTAGTGAGTTTTTGCATGTCACTGCATGTTGAAGCCCTCAACCGATGTGTGACATGTACAAATTCACTAAGTTGGCCACACATTCGCCACACATCTCTTGTAAAGACTTTATCAACATATTCCTTACAGTTCTCACATGAAAGTATTCTCTCTGAGGAAGCCCAAAAAATGGGTATTTTTCCGTTTCAAAAGTAGCGTCAGGTTGCAACATTTTTTCCAGACATTCAAAGGATATTTTGCAAACACTCAAAAGCAAAACTGCCAAAATATAAAAAAGCCCATAGTACTAATGATGGCTAGGCCCTAACCATCGCTGAGAACAAACTGTTTTCTCCAATACTAAATCCGTTAAACGGCCGTGAGCCAGCTGTTGACTACATGGCCTATTTTGGGGTACAGAACCGGCAGTTGGACGCTCCCTGTGACCTATGGTCCTATGCGCGACAGATTCCATATGGGCTGCACTTTGAGGGTTGAATATGATCTGCGTTTTTTCGTGTTTTTTTTCCAGCACCAACTGGACACAAAACGTTGAACAGCTCAGTGGAGTGATGTCTGCTGTGAATTAAAAGCAGACATTTTTAGTCCATTTTATGAAATTATGACAAATGCAAATGATCCTTTGCCTTTTCTCCCAGTAATGTTTTGAACTTTTGTTAAAAAACAATAGAGTAGTGGCTTTTTTGTTTTGCTGGATTTTTTTTTGAATTAGAGAGATAATGACAACAAACATTAATGAACATTTATGATTTTTTTTTTCAGTTGTGCAATGAGAGATATTTGTGTTATTTCCTTTTCAGTGTTAAAACCTGGGCTATATGTTATGTTAAACAGATTCATAGGCTACACAAAGGACAACAGAATATGTACACTTGTGTATTTAACATAAATTACAGACACAATTCTAATTATGTTGCAATAACTATCAATGGCCATGTGAAATTGAGTGACAATGCCACTGAAAAGACAGTAAAATACATAATTTATTTATTGTGCAGGCACGGGCTAAATGCCACTCAAATTTGGATGTCATAGAGTTCCATCTATGTAGCATTGAAAGGGTTCATGAAATGTTTTGATTGTTGTGACTTTTTTTCGTCAGGAGGACTGGCCAATTATTGAGGACGATGACGGCAAGTTTGATGTGACATCAGAGAAGAACCTTCTTGGAGAAAAGGGGGATATTTTGGACACGTTACGTGATCATGCACGTATCCTTTGTTAAATTCTGTTGTTTTGAAACACATTCACAGGGTCTAGTTTGACTTTTGAGGTTTCTGTCTGAATGATCACTAAGAAGTGAGTTGTTTAAACTTAAACATTTGTCCATGGCATGTGCAACCTGGAGCAAGTTCCATCAGGAACTAAGGTTAACCATAGTTTGCTGGTAAATATATAAATAATAGTTGGACAAGTCTAGATGTCTATTTGCAACCAACCTAGTGAGGTTGGTTACATTGCTAGTTGCAATAGCCACACGCATTACACAAGGTGAGTAAAAAAACCCCCAAATGTCGGGGCCATTAATGTTTTAGTGAAGTTCTGCGTGTAGCACTTTCAAAATCTAGGATATGAAAGCTCAATTCATGAGCTTTCTTTTAGTACAAGAATCATTCAAATCACTCAAGTACTTTTTCAAGTTACAGACTTTTAAACACAACCACCGTTTTAAAGTTCTGTCCACGGATCACAAAGAGGTAAGTGTTCTTTTAGCAAAACGAAAACAAATCACATAGGTATGTTTGGGAATTGTTTTCGGTTTGCTGAAAGAATGCACACCTTTTGTGTGATCTGTGGACAGAACTTTAAAACGGTGGCTGTGTTTAAAATTCCGTAACTTAAAAAGTACGTAAGTGATTTGAATGATTCTTGTACTAAAAGAAAGCTTATGAATTAGGCTTTCATATCCTTGATTTTGAAAGTGTTACATGCAGAACTTCAATAAAATAATAGTCCCAACATTTGGGTTTCGTGTTTTTTTACTCACCCTGTATTCAGTTGCTAATGAAAAGTTTCCCGGAGCTTTGTCCGGAAGATTGCTCCGTATTTTTCCCGGACATGCTCCGGGAAAATTTTCATTAGCAACTGCTTGACTCACCAATGCTGATATTTTCATTGTGGGAAGATTGCTGGGAAGTTGTTCAAAATTCTGCAACTTACACCAGACACAATGTGCGCAACTTGTCCTGAACTTGTCCCAGATATGAATTGAGATGGGCCCTGAGACGACCTTTGAGTTGTAGTAAAGAATGTTTTGATGATCGAGTGCTGATGGAGTAAAGAAAACAGTTCAGTTTAAAGGGGCACTAGGTCCTGAAATCCCCGAAAACTTCATGTTTTGGATTGTTTACTCAGCCTATTTCAAACATCTGGTTGAAAGGAAACGAACCTAATGTCTTACCGTTCCTGAGAAAAGAGGACAATTCCCCCGTTGTTTGCATCGGACACGACGGAGTACGAATACGTTTTTCGTGTCGTTCTCAGTGTACGATATACACGTTGTGTGTCTCGTGAACAGCGGTAACCAATCACCAATGCAAAAAAAGTTGGTTTCCTTAACGTCCGCAAAAGGCGAACACTTTACGAATGAAATCACAAAACTAGCATCCAACAGCTCGAATTTATGGGGTCGCAAAAGTGGACCCCAAAATTCGTTCTCGCACGTATAATACAGGAATAACACAAAAACGCCCAGTTTTGAAAGGATAGTTGTGTGGATGTTTATATCCTACTTTTAAATAATCTGTCCGATTAACATCATCTCGTTCAAAGTGCATTTTGTAGCCCAATTAGGCTGTTCCAGGACCCAGTGTCCCTTTAAAATAATATTGTGAAATACCTTGTCAGTTTCTTAATGTATGAATGATCAGCTCTACCTATGCACATGTTGGATAACTTAGAGTCTAAACTGGACCATCTTCAAGAGCACTTAGACGTCTATGCCAGCCAGATAGTTACATCAGAGGCTCCGTCCTACCGCTGGCAAAATAATCTATTCCATTCACCAAGCGCTGGTAAGCAAACATCATGTTTTTGGTACAATAGTATACAAATAATGAATGTTTATGAGTGCAATGGCGAGAATATTTTCATGAGTTGAAAGATTGAATGTTCTATTCAACGAGGCGAAGCCGAGTTGAATGGAGCATCCCATCTTTCAATAAATCAAAATATTCTCACCATTGCACGAATGCAAAACATTCATTATTTGTTTTATATAACATCCAAGTACATCTTTGTCATTCGATTGGAGGATAAAACTTTACGAACAAACAAACTCACAAAATTGTATCATATCCACTACCTTTTCTTCAGCTTGTTCAAGGCTAGCAAAGGTTTAAAATTCAAGTCATTGACAATACTGAAAATTAACATTGTAAGTTCTTAAAATAATAATACAAAAAAAAATCATCAAGGGAACTGCATCGATTAGTCCTGCTGCAAGTCCATCACCAATTACCCCGTCCCAAGTCAAGTCACATGCTATTCAATTGAACTCTGACAAATTAAAGACGTTCCTTGTTAATTGTGCTCGTCCCCTGTTCTTTGTGACTGGACTTGCGGATTGACTTGTGACAGGACTTGTGATGGGGCTTGGGTTCAACCTGTGTCATTAGGACGCATAGGCAAGACACTTTGCCACTAATTGCTTGTTTACCAACCAGGAGTAAATGGGTACTAGTATGGATACATGTTATTACTTCATAGGCCCGATGAGTAGGGGTAATAATAACAACAACTTGAGCAAGTTATTGGTGGTTATGTATGCTTATAGTGGGGTGCCATTGTCCAATGGTTACGGTGTTCGACTCGTGTGCCGTGGTGCATGGGTTCGAATCCTGACCGTGGGAACATGATGCTTGTGCTCTTGAGCAAGGCACTTTACCATTATTGCTTCTTCCTTCGGATGGGACGTAAAGCAGTAGGTCCCGTGTGTTGTGTAATGCACGTTAAAGAACCCAGTAACACTTATCGCTAAGAGAAGGGCTTTGCCCCGGTGTTTCTGGCAGTGGCTGCAATATGCGCCGCAGCACCTTGTAAACCCTTATAAAGGTGCTACATAATGGGTCTCATATATCTCATAAACTTCATTTCCCTGTCTTTAATAACAGACGTAATTTCCAGCGCCTTGAGTACCTAATTGTTGGTAGATACTTGCACTATATAAGACTCTGTTATTATTATTATTTATTATTAGAATCATATGTAGGGGAAAACATCCCCATTCTTAAACAAAAGAAGAAAATTTGTACAAAAATGTCAAATAAAATTAATCTGTAGTTGCGTGATAAGGAAAGCTGATGGGACAGTTAGTATTGTGCAGCTAAGTTTTCTTGATCACTGTCCTTTCTGACCTTAAATATCAATAACTGGTTAATTCGTAATTTCATTTTTTACCAGATTTCCAAATTGAATGAGAAGTTTTCTAACTTTATTAAAGTTCATACAGAAACTTTTCTTTCTCATTAAACGTAATCTTCAGGAACTAAGCAGTAACCTTTTGCTCAGCTTAACTTCTTTGCAAAATGCTGATCTTTATTCTTCTTGTATGCTTTCTTTCCACTGTGTCCTAATTACTGCTTATTTAACGCTGCTTTTTTTTGCTGATGCTTCATTAACCAGGGCTGGTGGTGTATAAAGAAGGTATACAAAGCTTGACTCATACTTTTCATGAATTTTGCGTGTGTATTTTTGGAGCTTTTTTTCAGTGTGTCAACTTCCACAAACCGCAGGGAATGCACTAATGAATTTTACCAACATTAAAGGCATATAGGATCATTTGCATTTATCCAAATATAACCCAGTGAATTTTTGTCAAAAAGCTTATTTGTATTAAAGGGAAAATACAACATTTGCAAACATCAAAAAATAAAACTACCAAATCATTTTGAAATACCTTGCTGGACTGTTAGTGAATGACAGTGTAAAGCATCCTGTAAAATCATGGCACCTGGTATACTGTCATTTTCAAGAAAAGTGGTATTTTTGTATCAATTTCCAACGCTGATCGGCCGATCAGCGTTGGAAACAACTGGCTTTTTTTCAAATACTGGCCCCAATTGACCATCGCACTTGTTTGCAATCGATTACAAACCTATGAACGGGTACGAGCCAGCTAGACTGGTTCCCTGACCTTACAATTCCCCAATGTATGTAAACTGCTCTGTTTCTTCTTATATGGAGTCAGGGAACCAGACTACAGGAAAATGATCGTTTTCCTGGTTTTTATAGCATTTTCGAACCCAAAACCTCAAAAAAGTCAGTGTAACTATATTTGCTATATATTTCCAACCCCCCAATTCCATCCATTTCTGAAAATTACAGGAAAAGCAAATGATGTATATTCCCTTTAAAGATCGTACTGGTACAAATCACCATGTGAAATTATTCCGTCTGGCTTGTTGTCATTTTATTAGAAAAAAATCATGAATTGTAGGTGATTTCCAACGATCAGTCAATTGACAGATCGTTGGAAATAAAGAGTTATAATGACGAAATCGTGTTTCATGATCAAAAGGTTAAGCATGGTTTTTCACCGTTTTCTCCAAAAGTGTAATAATATCCACTGAGATGGCATTTCAACAGGTTATAGGTTTGTAACATTCTCTTTGGATTTTGATTGGTGTTATTATTGGAAACAAACAAAACACATGAAAAGCAAATGGACCCATATGCCTTTTTACTTGTTTGACATATTTTTCTTTGTGTATCAGTGTGATTCTTTATATTGTTACAACTTAACAATCGCAAGTTGAAGATGTGAAGGAATGTATCGACCTGGAGGATTCTGGGCCCAAGTTCGTGGCTCTGTTTACCGTTAGCAAAAAATCTTCGCTTAGTGTAGCAGAAAATTATGTGCTTATGGACGGTTACCCTATCTCACGGGAATGTGAAGAATTTAGGCTATTTTGGCTTTTTTACTCTTTTGGCTTGTTTAATAATAAAATATGTTTTATTCTTCTTTTTTGCACATTTTCTGTTTGTTGCACACTTGACAAATGTTGTGGTGTGTAGTTTTGCACCCTGGTTTCGGCACAAACACTTTCAACTTTACAAATTTCTGCTTGTTGATCTGAAAAGAATGCTCATCTTTTTACTCATATTATGTCATTGATGGCTTATATCACTTCAGAAAAAGCCTTTTTGGAAATACGACACAAAATAGAGCTTTTTACAAAAATTTCTCTTTTTTTAAATTTTTCGATTTAAAATGTCTTCTGAAATTTGTCTTCAAATCTTGATCTAAAGTTTGACAACACTGACGTTGTTCAATTGGATTATTTTAGTGATGGAGAAGGCATTAGAGTCCAATGCAGTGAAGGCCAGTCAACGACAACGGAAAGACAAGACCAAGGAAATGAGAGCTCTTATCTTAGGCAGTAAAGCAAGAAGTGTGGAGGTAAAGTAATGGTCAAGCAGTCTGTACGTTGTTTCATTTACATCCTTTTACAATGGCATTCTTAAGTTGCACCAAACCAGATTAAGAAGATTTGAATTACGTACATGAAAAGTAGGACAATAGTGCTCAAAATCTAAAGACGGGTGCTTAACAGCTAGCCTGATGAAGTTTTAGCCCAGTGAATGGTGTATATCCCGAGAAAACAATATTCTAGGATCTTGATTTTAATTCAAAAGTTGCAAAGTCATGTTTTGAATTGCACCCGAAATCAGCATCCGGGACACGTTCTCATTCAGCTGATTGCAGCTATGCGATGTCACGCACTGAACCGACAAATAATAGCAATCGCGGGTGCGTGTGTCGTGTCGACGCTTGTGCGCACCCATGCACAGATTCGCCGAATTACAAACAAACTTGTAACGGAAATTTCCACAAGTGTGTCACTTGACGCATCTTTGGAAATGGCCTACTTTTATTGTTTTTTTCAAAATGATAGCATGCCAAAAATAATGAATAATTTCACAGAGAGTTTATTAATATTACTATCTTTAAACCAAGTAAGCTGTTCAACAAATATTTTCGGTTACTTTTTGGATAGCTACAGATGATATTCTCTACCTTTAAAAGTTCTATCATGGACATTACAAATGCTTGAATGATCGCTACTTGTTTATTTTTTTTTCTTGACAGACAACCACCTTCCCAGGGTTCAGTAGGAAAGAGTTGACGGAGTTACCGCATGGGTTAGAAGCACCACAGATACTGGACAGAATCACCAAGGCACAGGACTTTAATGTAAACACCCTGGTTCTTATGGCATCTTAAAATTTATTGCTGTGGATTTATTTGGCAAGCTTGTATCAGATTAATTGTGAAATAAATTGTAACTTAAAAAAAAAATCAAACTTAAATTAAATTTCAAAATAATTGGTCACAAAATTTGAAGGGAATGTAAATTTTATGTCACTTATTTTAGAACTTATTTTTTTATAAAATATTCTAAAACAGTGTATTCACTGAACCTTTTATGTGTAAATTATGCATTTCAGGAGTCTAAAATTGAGATGTCAGTTTGCATTAACCATGGCTTTGATGTGTCAAACATTTTGGTTCATTTCACGATGTGACAAACATTTTATAAGTTGATTAAACTTTAACTTCATTTTTTGTTGACTAAGCTTTCCCATGTACTTTTCTCCAGTCTGGTTTTAGTAAATTCTGGAAGAAGTTGTTTCTATCGGAAGCCTCGGTGGCTGTCATGCAGGACGCTTTCTGGTGGTTCTTCATCCAAGAATATGAGGTGAGTAGATTATATCTAGTGGTGGGAAAAATCAGAGATTTCAAAATCCGATTTTCCTAAGTTTTTTTCAAACCAAATTTAACGGTTATCCGATTTCACTGGCAGTTCCATTCAGCTCACACCTGGTTGGTGTCGAATATCTGGTTTTCAAAATCCAAACCAAATAGTGGAAATTCAAACCGAATTTACAAATATCCGGATATTAATTCCACCACTAATTATATCTACAAAGGTTTGTACAATTCAGGGTTATCCTTTTAAAAAAAAATGAATGTGTTCTTTAAATGTGCCGCAAACTATAATCTGCATCATAAACACATTTTTGTAGATGATATTAGTTTTATTTACCTTGATTTTTTTTTTGTTCGCAGCCTAAACGTAAGGCAGAGCAGAACAAGGTATTCAACAGGATCGCTGATAGCTTTGTAGCGCTCTTCACTAGCGTCAACCCAGACATCAAAGATAAATTCTTTGCTGTAAGTTAGAAACCGTGTCGGCCTGTCGGCCTTAAATTCTTGTATAAGTGGTGTTGTCCATACTGTTTGTTTGATCAAATTTGTGGAAGAGTTTAGACAATGCATGCCCTGTTTGATGTTAATAACATATCATTGGGCCCCTACATATTTCATAGGAAACTTATCAATCCTACATTTCATTATCATGAGGGTCAACAAAATGTAAAGAAATTGACTTTGGGGGATTTGAACCCGTGAACTTCAAAACACTGTACTGGCGCTCTACCAACTGAGCTATCCTATATTTGTTAAGTCACTATTTATATCAGATGTGAACCAGCCAACTGACCCCGGCAAGCTTGGTTGATTGGTTAGCCATCTGCACTAGTTAGCAGGAGGTCATGGATTCGAGTCCTACCCGAGTAAACCTCGGACAACATTGAGAACCCAGTGTTTATGAAATTGGAATGGTGAAGGGCAAAGCCTAATATTGAACTCTAGTTTCAACTTTTCCTTTCAGGTGTACTCAGATTGCCTGGCTCAGTCCATATTCGCTGGTTATTGGGAAGCGTTCATTGATTCACACAAGACGTTTGATGCAAATTTCAAGCAGAAAGTAGCAACACTCTGCAGTGAATGGGTGGCAGGTAACACACCTTTTCTTATCTAAGTTTGTTTTACCTTTTTTTTTCCATGGTGACCATCTCCAGACTTTTTGAAAGCAAAAGTTGAAAACAAATTGCTTAAAATTGTTTCATGCAGGACATGTTTAACACTGTGGCTGCTGTAATGTGGGATATGACATGGCTTCTGTTTTTTTACACCAAATGGGCGCTTGGACCGGAGGCGAAGATTAGCATGTCTGGTAATGGGCTCCGAATGTAAACTAGAGAGGGCACTTTTCGACCGCTTTTGAAAGCTCCAGTGGGGGACACACTGCATGCGCGTACTGGTTCAAGGTTTGCTTGTTTATTTGGATTCTTGTGCCTGTTGTAGGTATCAAGCCTGGTCCGGATGCTTGGAGTCATTGGGATATCAAGCGACTTCAACCGAAGAGCATGAACAAAGAGAAGGAGGAAGATAAGAAGAAAGTAGTGCTGATGAAAGAGGGAAAGATCAACAAAGAAGGTGAGGACTAGATCAGCCTGGTAAACAGAGGTTATACCATGTAAGGTGTCAACCCTACTCCCCACTCCACCCCACCCCACCCCACCCCACCCCAACACCAACCGTGGCAGAGTAGAACAAGAAGTAGTGTTGATGAAAGAGGGAAAGATCAACAAAGAAGGTGAGGACTAGATCAGCCTGGTATACAGAGGTTATACCGTGTAAGGTGTCAACCCTACTCCCCACTCCACCCCACCCCACCCCACCCCAACACCACCCCAACACCACCCGTGGCAGAGTAGAACAAGAAGTAGTGTTGATGAAAGAGGGAAAGATCAACAAAGAAGGTGAGGACTAGATCAGCCTGGTATACAGAGGTTATACCGTGTAAGGTGTCAACCCTACTCCCCACTCCACCCCACCCCACCCCACCCCACCCCAACACCACCCCAACACCACCCGTGGCAGAGTAGAACAAGAAGTAGTGTTGATGAAAGAGGGAAAGATCAACAAAGAAGGTGAGGACTAGATCAGCCTGGTATACAGAGGTTATACCGTGTAAGGTGTCAACCCTACTCCCCACTCCACCCCACCCCACCCCACCCCAACACCACCCCAACACCAACCGTGGCAGAGTAGAACAAGAAGTAGTGTTGATGAAAGAGGGAAAGATCAACAAAGAAGGTGAGGACTAGATCAGCCTGGTATACAGAGGTTATACCGTGTAAGGTGTCAACCCTACTCCCCACTCCACCCCACCCCACCCCACCCCAACACCACCCCAACACCACCCGTGGCAGAGTAGAACAAGAAGTAGTGTTGATGAATGAGGGAAAGATCAACAAAGAAGGTGAGGACTAAATCAGCCTGGTATACAGAGAATAGACAAGTGTAGCCGCCTCTCAACACCACCCCACCCCACCCACCACACCCCACCCCACTCCACCCCACCCCACCCCACCCCAACATCACCCCAACACCACCCGTGGCAGAGTAGAACAAGAAGTAGTGCTGATGAAAGAGGGAAAGATCAACAAAGAAGGTGAGGACTAAATCAGCCTGGTATACAGAAAATAGACAGGTGTAGCCTCCTGCCCACTCCAACCCCACTCCCACCCCACCCCACCCCACCCCACCCCATCACCACCCCTGGCAGAAGAAAGTGGAAGAAGAAAATAGAAACAGAAAGTAGTGCTTATGAAAGAGGGAAAGATCAACAAAGAAGGTGAGGACTAGATCAGACTGGTATACAGAGAATAGACAAGTGTAGCCGCCTCACCACTCCTCCCCACTCCACCCCACCACACCCCACCCCAACACCACCCGTGGCAGAGTAGAACAAGAAGTAGGGTTGATGAATGAAGGCAAGAGCAAAACCAGAGAATAGCAGATTGACTGGTGTAGATACACCAGAGCAGGGCGGATTGCAGTAATGGTCTTAAAGTTGCCTATGCGTGTTAGACGGTCTTGAAGCTCTGACTGACAGTCTGTCTAAACCCAGTCTAAGTGTTAAGACAGTCTTAAACTAGTTAGCCTGAGTTAGGCTGCATCCGAATCAGCTGTCTAGAGCTAGGTCTAGGTCTGCGCCCATTGAAAATACGCGGGGACGCGCTGACAATAGACGTAGCCGTAGCTCTGGAAGCCCATTTCGGACACAGCCTAAGGCTGGCTTAAAACAGTCTGTAGTTGGGATTTTCTATTATTCATTTGTCTTGAAATATGTGTCCCTTGAAATACTTGTCCCTAGAATGGCTTTTCAGTTGATAGGTATTGCTGATTTGTGAATCTGTCAATCAGAGCCATCTTTTCACCCTATGTGAAGGCTGGACGGCATTTGCTCGGAGCCTTTTCTTAAGTTGCGATTATGTGATAATCTTGCAGTTTTGTACCGTAGTACGGACGTATGCGGATATTTTGCGAAGTGCACCATCATGCACATCGCATCTCGCACTGTTGCTGTAATTATGAAACGTTTGGTGCTTTTTTCCGCCAACCTATTTTCTGTCCTGAATGATAATTTCTACCTTCAGATTTCCTGAGTTAATTCTCTTCTTTTTATTTCTCTTGTAGCCCCGTACCATGAGTAGCTTTTAGCCTTGTTCAGGGCACGTATGCACAAAAAAAATTATGAATTGCTTGTGATTTATGAGACCAGATGTGTGATTCACAATTTCAGTCACTGTTACATATTTTTTTTTTATTCGTATCTAGCTGATTTCTCTGTCAGCGTTGATGTTCCTGATGATGATGAGCTAGTGTCGGAGGGGACCAACATGGCTGGCCTATCTCGTGAAGTCACTCTGATGACCAATAAGAGCCTTCGATTCCAGCCGACGACCGCCGGCATGACCGGTGCCCAGTCGGGTTTGATGAACACGACTAGGATGGTGCTACCTCCTGTACCGCCAATGCAGGAAGAGGTTAGAGATGTTGCTATATTTAGCAAATTTGTGCATTTATGAATTTCTAAAAAACACCATCTTCTTCCATTAACTTTGGCACTTTTTCAATACTGAAATGAATCAGTCAAGTTTAAAGGTAAAGTAGATCATTTGTAATTTGTATATTTTCTTTGTTTGAAGCAACAAAAGTGCTCAAAATCTAAGACGGGTGCTTAACAAAAAACCTGATGACGTATTAGGTCTGTTAATGCTGTATATTCCAAGAAAACAATATATTGCAGAATCTCGATTTCAATTCAAAAGTCATATTTTGCCAGTTGCAGCTATGCGATGTCATGCACTGAACTGACGAATAATAGCAACTGTGCACGCATGTATGTTGTTCTGAATGATTGCAATAGGGAAACTTTCAACAACTTGTACTTGTAGTTGGATTATGTAGCTATGTATACAGGTGTCATTTCTACACCAGAAAAAAATTTCCACTTACCGAACTAGTTAGCAACATTTAAAACCAACACGACTTTCTTGGATAGAGGGCAGGGTTTTGGATTTTTTTTGGGTAAAACGATGATGAAGACGACAAAATGCAACACGAAAATATAGATGGCGATCGCTACGACACATCATGAATGCATAAAACCATGTTGATTTGCATGCCATCAACTGTAATTTGCGTAAGAAAACTGCTTTTCTACCAAAAGATAAACATTTGAACATTACCAAAAAAATGTGGTCATTAGAATTAAGAGAAGTCTGTTTGGGTTGCAGAAGTTATTTTGGAATGAAAAAAAACCGTGATGTTTCTGAGAATATTCTACTTATAACACAACTTACCGGTTTCATGCAATTTATCTCCTTCTGCAGTCTCATCCTATGGGTCCGGGACCAGACTTTGAGCGAGTACTGTTTAACATCCAGGGCCGTAGTCCACTTATCGCCCATTATCTCTACATGAAGGATCTGGCTGGCAATGAACACATTGGACGTAATGTCCGCAGGACGGAGGTCGCCAAAATGCCATATCCTTGGAATTTTTTTTTCTCCAATAGTTTATTTTTAGTTATTAGTATTCTAGGCAAGGGCCGGTGGATTCCTTTTTTATTTTCCATCCCTCCCCCCAAATGTCTAGAATGCACCTTTTAACACTTTAAAAATTTGAAAAGGACAGCGTAATAACTATGTTAGTTTAATAGGGGGGGGGGGAGTGCTGCATATAACAGATTACAGATAACAACATTTTCAGATGAAAATATCTGACCTAAGATGTGAAAAGTCATCAACATCTTTAAATGAAAAAGAGACATCTTTATCATTGATAAGGAAAGTGAAAATTGTGACCAAACCCAACAAAATGAGTCGGAAGTCGCAAAAGCTACTTTTGAGTAATACAGACCCATAAACAAATCTAGTACAATATATATGAATTTGAACTGTCAATGTTCCCACCTATATCAGGATGTCACATTGAGTGATATATACCACAATAAAGTGCTGAATTTGCTCTTTCCAATGCATAAGAAAAACTACAATGTGAAAAAAAGTGTCCTTAAGACTAAATTCACAAATGTGATGGAATCTGAAAGAACACTGGAAAAAAGTACATTGCTATCACAAAATCTAACTTTTTAAGGGTTTTTTTTGGCAAGAATTATATCCAAAGAAGCAACTTTGATTGTTTGCTTAAACTTGGAATTACTCCTCCAGCTCTGACCTATCGTGAAGTCATCAAAGACACGCAGCGAATGAAGAAATCACTCAATGCAGAATATCAAAAGTGAGTACATGTCCAAGGAAATATGTAGTAAAAGTCTGCCCCGAGCCCATATGGCTCATCAGGATGGTGTTTCTATTCCCCCTGGATGGGATGCCAGTCCATTGCAGGTTACTCCCTAGCTAATGCTGGTACCCATTTATACTCCTGGGTGGAGAGAGGCAAGTGGTGAAGTGGCTTGCCCAAGGACACAGCACACGACCAGCAGCTGGATTCTAACCCCTGAGCCTTCGGTCAGAGTACCACGCGCCTGCAACCCGCGCCTGCAACCGTATATCCCATAGTGGTGTTTGCTTGCAGTATGCTACAGATACAGAGTAACGAACGCTAACCACTAGGCCATGCCCCCAAGGAAAGATGTACGCTATGAGTAATCACGGTGTGTGGGTGATATAGGGACCATTGCAAGCTGTACTCGGGATATTTCTTGTCAAGTTCATTTTTACTGGTCACCCTAAGTCCTGCACCTATCCTGGATGTGTAGATTGGTGCTCAAAGTATTGTAATCTGAAGGTCATAAAGTGTTTATTTGTCACATTGGAAAAATCTGGTTCATAAGAAATGTGCTCTTATAAGGGATGCATATTGTTAGGAGTGTAGTAATAGAGGCCATCGCAAGTCCTTACAAGTCAAACACTGGTCATGATCACACGTCATCCTGCCTTAGTTAAGTTCATTATCACTATTCAAATGGACTGTGACAAAGGCATTCCTTTGTCATTGTTCATCTCCTAATACCGAGTTACTTCCAAATGGACTTGTGAATTGACTTTAACCAGACACAAGTGAATCAAATTGTGATAAACATTGACTGGAACTTTGTTTAGAAATCCCTCTTGATAACAACTCTGCTCTTGCAAGGGGATCATGAGATATGCAACTGATTATTTTTGATGATGTGATGTTGACACCTTTTTGTTTTAATTTTAGGATCAAAGAGGAGCTAGCGCGTGAGATGGCAGCCATTGAGAAACAGAAGAGAGAACAGACGCGGGAGATTGAGCAGCTGAAACAGAAGATATTACTCCGAAATGTGGACGTCAAGATACTGAGTGAAAAGATCTTAGATATGAGGGTGAGTTGAGGAATAAACAATTAAGGGTTCAGGATATTTATTTATTTCATTTAGTTGAGATGAAAATATTATTTCCAAAAAAGAGTACAAGAAATAATTGTCCATATTTTCCCATTTCTGAAAAGGATGTTCTTCTACATTGGGCAACGTTACTCAAAGATTATGTTTAAATCAAAACTGTTCTGTTTTAATTATCACGATTATTTTTCCATATCATCTTGCCCTCTTCAAATGAAATCAACTTATGTGTGCTGAAAGATGTTTGATTTTTATTTGCATTGCACTTAATATTTTAATGTTAATTTTATTTTCTTCCTTGTTACGCTCAATTTTGGCCAAATAAGGGCAAGGATGGAATCATGACATTACTAAAGGAAGCAGCTGGATATGAGGTTTGATGAGTCTAATAACATCAAATCATCAATCTTTACAGGCACGGTTCTAAAGGGGGCTACTAGGGCCATAGTCCACACAAAGTGAAAGTTAGTGTTGATGTATCTGACAGGATATTTTGCTGACTTAACCAATGGAGATGAGATGAGATAGTCCCAACCACCCAAAATTTTAAATTGGGTTTTGCTCATAAAAGTTGGTTGTGAAAACCGCTGCTACATCAGACTCGAACTGGCCAGCTGACCCTGGCAATCTCGGTGGTTGAGTGGCAAGACATCTGCACTATAAGCAGGAGGTTGTGGGTTCGAGTTGCACCGGCGTAAGCTTGTGATTTTTTTGGCAAAACCCAGTATAAGGCTTACATCTCTCCGACGCAAATTCCATCTCCTAAAGAACACCCTAAATTTGTCCTATAAAAAAAAAATTATAAAAGGTATTTTTTAAATGTTTCTTTAAAATGCAATGAAGTTATCCTAAATCACATTTTGAAAATATCCTAAATCACATTTTGAAAATAGATAACCTTTAAAAATATACATTTTGAAACTTTAGAACTGTGCCTGTTTCCCCCCCCCACAAAATCCTTAATCCAATCCTACATCTATACTAACTGAACATGTTTTTTTTAGTGCATTTTGGCAGTATGCATTTTGGGTTTGCAGTTTTTTGCCAGCAGGGGCCAGTATGGGGGCTTCATCACCAAGTCATGCATGGGCAGCATATTGATTGAATGCCATACTGTTGTCATCAAAAGTTGTCTTTGCTATAATTATTTCATTGAAGAATGTAGCGATTGTCTGAATTCTAAATGATGTGTTGTAGGATTCCTGATTCCCCAAATGTTATCATATCACATAGCAGGGTTGTCATGTCGTGATACATTTGGCAATGCATAAGCGGATCTTTTGTTATAAAAATGCATGAAGGGTATGAGCATCTGTAAAGGTTAGCAGGGGAGAGATGCGGGATGGAGGGAAACGAAGGGATGGGGAATATCAGCCACATTCTCCTTCAGTATGGAGATGCTTAAAGCTATAGTCCAGCATTTGCAGCCATCCGAAAAGTAACTGGCGTAATTATTGTTCAAAAACAAACTTGGTTGAAAGATAGTAAGGGAACTAAACTCCCTGTGAAATTATTCTTTCTAGCAAGCTGTCATTTTGAAGTAATCAACGAAAGAAGGCCTTTCCAACGGTGCGTCTCAAGACGCACCGTAGGAAAATTTAAATTAGTAGTTCGTTTGTTATTCGGCGAAGCGCGCGCAAGCATTGGCACGACGCACTCGAGCGCGCAGTTGCTATAATTCGTCGGATCAGTGCACGACGTCGCGTATAGCTGCAATTCAAAACAATTCAAAACATGATTCAGTAACTTTTGATTTGAAATTGAGATCCTAAAATGCTGTTTTTCTCGGAATATGCAGCTGAAGCTTAGCTGAAACTTCATCAGGTTAGTTGTTCAGTATCCTTCATTAGATTTTGAACACTTTTGTTGCTTCAAACGAACAAAATGCACAAATTACAAATGATGGACTATATCTTTAAACAAGAGTGGTGCTCAAGCTGGGTGGTGTGGTAGATATGTTCAGTTGATGTAGCTATGTTAATGCTTCGCCATGTAGCAGGATATGCAAGATTGCATGTGCTAATTACCCAGCATATGGAGTGTACTTTACCCATCTTATATTCAAACGGCAGGTGATTTTTTTTAAAGCAAAACTGTAACATTTTAGATGTGTGAAGAAACTCTGTGTGATCAATTTTTAGCTAACTTGTGTGAGTAGATAGGTAGAATATTAACATGTATGCCAGCTAACAAAGGCAATGAGCATGATGACATCATTCGTTTGTATATTTTTTTTAATAGACTCTTTTACAAATGTTTTAAGTCGTACGTTGTGCAGTTTTGTTGATGCAAATCAATGGGAGACGTTTGAGACGTTGGTGGCAGCAAACACACCAGTCCTTTTTCCATTGTTTGCGTCATGTTGAGCATGCGCGCTTTAGCTTAAACACGACGTAAACAATTGAAAAGGATCGGTGTGTTTGCTGCCACCAACATCTCAAAAGTCTCCCATATTGGCATTTATTCTTGACAAGAAAAAAAAATCCAACCATTTTTAGTTGACATTCACTGCTAAGCTGAATTTTTTTACAGTTTTCTATGGGAAAACAATGCCATAAACAGAAAAATCACTGGTTTTACGTGATTTTTTTGTCTTTGAGAAAGGTCTTGCTGGAGACCGAAACTTTAGGCCAGCTAAATTTGTTGATTTTTTTTTCCTGTTAGGTGCAGGGCATTACAAATGGATTGGGCTCATTACCAGTTTGAAGATGCCTCCGGTCGGAAGTTCCCTTCTCATATTTCGTTCTTTTCCCACCAACAGGAAAGACAAGTTTTGCCAAACAAGAGGACTGGTAGTGGCTACAGCTCATCATCAGATGAAGATGACGACGATAAGTGATGCCTTCCATTGTAAAATATTGGACATCCAGCCAAAAGGCTATGGAGATGAAGATTAAACTCAGATTACAAGTTGCATCTTAGTCTTCCATTGTAACAAGCGAGTGCACAATAAACTCTGGCCCGGTTCCGGAATGTCTCACTTCATATGCAAATAGATGCCCATGCGCATCGATCGAGACAAAGGGGCATGTTCCGAAAAGTTTCGCCAAGAGTGCATTTACTGACGACGGCATTGCATTTGGTCAATTTTTGGTCAATTGGTAGTTAAATTTTATGGGAAACTTAGGGGGCCCGTTTTTGGTCAATTTTCCGGGGACCGACCGACCACGAAGTGACATGAAGAAGCTCCTGTCAGAGCTTAAAAAGAAACAGTCTAAAATAATGGCAATGGACAGATGGTTACTAAAACTCATCATCATCTGATAAACACTACGAAGGTGAAGAGAGACATTCTGTTGATGATCAGCATGCTAGTCTAAACTAGGACACTTAGAGGCATGTAATAACACCGCTCAAAATCCAAGGAAGAATTTTCAAAACCTAACCTGTTGAAGTTTTGGCTCGTTGGATACTACACTTTGAGAAAACAGGGAAAAATTATGCACAACCTTTCGATCACGAAACACGATTTTGTCATTATAAGTCTTTATTCCAAAAATCAGTCAATTGACTTATCGTTGGAAATCACCTACATTTCTTGATTTCTTCTTATTGTCAGCAAGCCAGAAGGAATAATTTAACGGTATTTAATACCAGCCAAGTCTTCTCCAATCTTTACTTTTGAAGAGGCATGATTTTAGTCAGAAATGATGATTGATACAGACTACAGACAATATGACCCAGAAATCACTTCAGACATTTTCACATATTTATGTGTATATAAAAGATGTACATTTTTATTGTAAATTTTGTATAGAGTGACGAAAGCAGTTTGTATCAGCTAAAATTATAACAAGTTGTAATTTAGAAATTGAGGCTAAATGTGTTGGTTTTTGGTGTTGATTAAACGCACTTTGTGTTGAGAAAATTTCCTGGATTACCCCTCCATTTTCTTGCCCTGAATTGTTATTATTTGATAATAAACACCTCAAAAAAAGAAAGTCCACACTCATTGCAGGGGCATAATTTTGAATATGATGTCTGAATTTAACGTCATTTATATAGACCTTTGGGAATTTTGTTAGCTACCAAAGTCTGTAAATCGTCCAAGATTGACAACGGTTCATGAAAACTGATGCAGTTTGAAAAGTTGCACATTTACAGATTACGCGAGGAGAAATTGCTAAGCGCAAACACACATGCCCGTAACTGACCCTATCGACTGCACAGTGCCTGAACCGAGCATGGGTACTTCAATTTCGCGTGCTCCCATGCATACAAGCACCGTGCGATCGATATTCCCTGCTGTTCGTTTCGGGCAGTGTTACATTGTCACGCAGCGATTTCCACTCGTATGCTCTCTAAATTTGCAAATCTTCAAGCTGCATCATTTTTCATAAACAGTTTTCAATCTTGGAATATTTACAGTATTTGGTAGCAAACGGGGTATCAAAATGTAGCTAACAACATTCCCCAAAGGTCTATATAAATGACGTTATCATAATACGATCAGTTTCAAAATTATGACCCTCGAATAAGTATGGACTTTTTTTTTTGGCGGTGTTTACCAAATGTATACTACATTGCACATTAAGTTGATTAAGTTTAGCTGGGAAGCAACATGGCATTCCAAGACAGCTTAATTTTGGTAAAACAGTTGTCATGGACCAATTAACTTGTTGCAACCTGTAAATGCTTGGAATAAAAAAAAAGCAAAAAGTAACGAGGCACTTTTCTCAATAAAGCCGGCATGCACACTACAGCTATAAAATACTCGGTTACATTAGTCTTGCTACACTGTGGTATTAAAATCAGACTTGGTTTTTCATTGACACTGATAAAATTTGATATAACAGATCCACCTGAAAGATAATCAAAGCATAGTGTCTTCAACTATATCAGAATAATTTACTCTCAATTGGGTATTTATCCCAAAACCAAACTTAAAAAGGAATTATTGAAAGGAAATGCTGTTTACTGTTTTTCTTATGCAAGTACTGGAAATTGGCAGTTTCTTGGATGCAAAAAGAAACAATTACATGTACATGGACAAAATGGGGAACCACCACCATAATGCTGGGTAGCTCAGTTGGTAGAACCCTGGAATGGCAATCTGGAGGTTACAGGTTCAAACCCTGCTCCAGTCAATTTCTTAGTTCAACTTTCAAAATTAAAAACAAAATATCTTAGGAATGTTAACTTAATTACATCTAAGTCATAATCGCCTGTACTTTGAAGCAAAAATACTGAAGTGGAGAAAATTTTATTTTGATGACTTAAGGAGTTGTTCCATTGTAAAATTTCTAAAGGACTTTGTCCTGATTTCAGAGAGAGGTTTCGGTGTCCAGTTGAATGATATTGGCTCCGTTGCCAGGCTCGGTAGCAAACAAACTCTCCTTGACGCGTCCCTGTAGCTTGGGATCAGCTGCGTAATACCCAGCATGCACCTTGCTGATGAAGTCATCAACACTCTCGGATGGTACCATGGAAACGGCGCATCCACCCCAACCAGCGCCTGTGAGGCGGGAGCCCAGTGCTCCAGAGTTTCTGTTTTGACAGAAAATATAAGAAGATGAATAAATGGCTTGAAAGATTATATATATCAGACAACTCTAGCTTAGCAACCTAAATCAAACTAGCATCCCGGCTACCTTGCTCCATGCTTCATCATGGACACTTCTGACAGAGGAAGTTCAACATAGCACGTTAATGTATTCATATCATACGCATATGTTTCATCACAAATCATCCCTTTTAAGTCTTGGAATAACTTGTATGTTTCGTCATTGTATGACTTCCTCTTTAAGCCCTTCGGTATCCAAAAGTACTGGATTCAAAATGTGGAGTTACCTGGTTCTTGGAACTAAATTAACTCATGATACCAATGTGCAGAGAATTCAACAGTCTGGATGCACAATTTCGTTTGCTGGTCCTGAAGAGCCAGCTGACTGACAAACTTATTCACTGACTGACTGACTGACTGACTCCCCAGTGATCATAAATAATGTCCTTAACTTCGACTTTCAGGTCAAGTTTGACAGGGCAAGCCTACTTTTGTTTGTCTGCCTGGACTTCCTTCTGCATGGCAATGACCAATGTCCAATGCCACTTCTCACCTCCGAAACTCTACAAGATCATCTGAATGTTGATACATGTCTCTGCAGCTTGTATGACTACCTCTTGTGATTGGGGTAGCAGCATCAGCCTATCATACACCCACCAACTATCCACCCATCACCCCTCAACCCACCCCATCCCCTAACCAATTCACATGCACAGCTCTACAAGTTGATCTAGTGGTACACAGCTACATTAATACAACTTAAGTCTCGGCAGCTTGTATGGCTATCACTCATGAGTCGTCCTAGCTGGGTAGCTGCATCAGCCTACCACCCACCCACCAACTATCCACCCGCTGCCCCTCCCACCCACCCCACCCCAACCCACCCTATCCACTAACCAACTCACATGCAGAGCTCTACAAGTTGATCTAGCAGTTCACAGCTACATTGATACAAGTCTCGGCAGCTTGTATGACTATCACCCACGAGTCCTCCAAACTGGGTAGCAGCATCAGCCTACCACCCACCCACCAACTATCCACCCATTGCCCCATCCCACCCCATCCACTCACCTGCACAGCTCAACTAGTTGATCTAGAGGTTCACAGCTACACTGATACAAGTCTCGGCAGCTTGTATGACTATCGCTCATGAGTGCTCCTAGCAGAGTAGCGGCATCAGCAGGTCCCTGATCACATATCTCCTTGAATTTCAGGACTCGGTTAGCTTCACCAAACACATGCTTGGCACGATCATGCAACTTGAAAGAGATGACTGTAAAATCAGAGGTTGGGAAATGGACAAAGTATCAGTGATCTGGCTGAGAAACGCAGTAAAACTATTATTTATTTTAAACAATTTCTGTAAAAAACACATTTCCTGATCAGCCTTTTTCAAATACGGACAGATGCCAAGGATAGAAAATTGACAAATATAATCAAGAGAGGGCGCTGTTTGAAAACTTTTTAAGAACCGAGTGGACAGGACACACTGCATGCGCATACTGGTTCGCGTACATAAAGTGGGCAGTACGCACGGCTAATTTCATTCTGAATGCTCACAAAGATATAGCCTCTTCGCGTGAGCATCAAGCGTCATCAGCAATGCATCTGAATGTCTCTCCCAGTGGTCTCCCCCAACTCTCCCATTCTTGTCGTTGAGGGGGTACTTGTGCACGGAGCCCATACACAAAATGTACCCAGACCCACTCATAAAATGAACACATGAACTAAGAAAGACAACACCGCCAATTTTTTTTTTCTAGCTTGTCTTTTTTAAAACTTTAATGCTCCCATTCAAGTCCAATTTTAAAAGAGTTGAAGGCATCTTGTGAGTTGTTCAATCTTCTCACCTTCCAGTGTGTTCTGGCTCAAGCTGTCCTTGTTCAACTCCTCTTCCGACACCCCAAGGATGTCACAAACCTCCCGTTTGCTGTACGGCTCAGGATGAAGCACATCCTCCACGATGCTCAACATGTCCTCCGAGGAGACTCCTAGTGCCTCTTGTAGCTTGGCTAACACCTTAAGCTGCTTCCAATCTAATCCTTTAGCCTTGGCCAAGACCTAATAAAAAGCATTTGAAAATATGTATTAAGTTTGCAGTAGCACCATTGATCTGTTTTGTCAGTTTGTGTGATTAGGAAAGACCACTTATGTCAACAATGTTTTGAAAATTTGCCAAAGTTTGATTTTGGTTGAAAATGGATTTATGCCATATTTTTATTGGTCATGAAAGTTTGACCCAATTTTTTACAAACTGGTTGCTATGGTAACTCTACCTGGGTTGCTAGGCGACACTCAACCACTCTGATGTTGAAGTGAGACGTTGCAGCTTTCTGTAATTCCACGCAACTATTGGAGATGACAAACGACACACCAGGAGGTATGGAAACGCTGGTGGCTTGGATGGGGTTAAACTGGATCCACTTAGCCTGTATGTGATCAATATTGGGAAAAAACAAAATATTCAAAAATTTCTGTTTGAATCAAAATAAAATTATGTGATCTGCCTAATTTATCATTTTGACATTGAGTCACTCTGTTCATCTTTTAGCCATTTCTATAAGGCCTAACAAAATGTATAACAGTAAACCGACATATCTGAATGTTTTTTAAAGCCAACATGCTGACCTCAAACGCTTTCTTGCCACATTTTGCCAACAATTTAAAGTATATTTTGAAAATAGAAAAGTCTTCCCTATGCAACTCTTGTGTGTGTTATTGGTTAATTGAACAATAAAACAGGTTAATTAAACAGCATAGCGTTAAAGGTGCCCTAAGTAAACAAAGTAAGTATAAAAGACTGACAGACAAATATTTAAAAAGTTCCAAATAAAGTATTTTTCATACCTATCTACCTGTCTACCTATCTACCTAATTTTTACGGCGTTACCATAAAAACACAGTATTTTTCTAGGCCTAAACAGCAGATTATTCCACTTTTTGTCTGTTGATTGTTTTGGTCATTTTCCATTTTACCTGTTTGGTTTTTTAACCCATTTACTGCAAGACATGTTTTACAACAAAGGGAGTTCAGTTCAGCAAAATGATTTAATGTCTTCATGATATTTGATATATCTTTTTTAAAATTCATAAAAGCTGGAAATTGAAACGAAATAACACACTCACAGTTCCAGTTTCCGCCAGGAAGCAGATAGATTGATCCATACCACCACCTTGAGTGCCAATATAACGCTCACATCTCATACAGATATCTGCTAATTTCCTCTGAATTCAAACAAAATTAAACTTTATCACTACGTAGGAAAGGCGGGGATGAATTTTAACGTCTTCGTGGCCAAGTATTAAAAACAGTACCGCAAAGCACTTGCCTCTCGCCGCTGTTGCCTGGGTTCGATTCCCTGCTTGGGTCATTATGTGAGTAGAGTTGTATGTTGGTTCTCTCCTGTGCCACAGAGGGTTTTTCTCGGGCTCTCTGTTTTTCCTCCCTTGGCGATAACCAACACTTTAAATCTCTGGCTGTGCTCTGTGGTCAGACATGTGTCGTATGGCGGCTGGCTAAGGCGCCTTTACATGCCTTTGGCTCAACCTCGTTGTAGCTGCGCCCTTCACAATTCAGCTTTTGCTGTGAGTACGGACAATTAGCCCCCAAAATTTAACAGCCACCAATTGCCAATTTCTATGTGATACTTTTTCGCACGTTGGGGGGGGGGGGGGGGGGGGGGGGGAGGAGAAGGGAGTTGGGCTTGCAACTCTCAACACACCCTATGATCTGCCCTTGGGTCAGGCCCTATTTCAGCAAGGACTGTCACACCTACCTTAGGTATCTCCAACCCATTGGCATGCATAGTGACCAGACTACTACAGCACACCAAGGCACTAGAGCTAGACAGACCAGCACTGCGTGGGACGATGCCATCCACCATCAGGTTCATACCAGACGGTGTAGATACACTCTCGGCCTCTACGATACCTCGGAAGCCACACAGGATGTAGTTGTGCCATAGAGGGTTGCTGGGATCTATCTTGTAGTCTTCAGTGCTTGATGTGAAATCCCTATCGGAAGTGAGAAAATCAGACAAAATGTTTTATAAATGAGAAATAATTCAAATGTAGTTTTGGTTTATATTTTTTTCTCATGTAGGTAAAAAGAAGAAGCTTAATCGTGTAGTTTAGGACACATCTGTGTTTTACAAATTCCATTCAGTAATCAAAACCCTGCCATTTTCCCACAAAACAAAGCTAGCTCTTAGCGAACTATTTCGATGATTCTAAACACATAAAGTGACTTTTCCTGCTTGCATCATAGCCAAATGTTTAGGTATTAAGTCCCAAAACATTTTCATTCTCTTGTGGAATTTGGAAACGAGGTCCTATTAACTACACGATTACTATACCTTTGTTTTATTATTTTAAGGCTTACATTTGTTTTATTTGAACTGGAGGAACTGGGGATGTATTAAAAAATACACAAATCAAAATAAAACAAAACCCCTAAAAACAGAAGAAAAAAATAAGCTGGGCTGTCAAGTTAACTCCCCCCCCCAAAAAAAACCCACCCCCCCCCCCAAAAAAAAACCCACAAAACATACTAAACCAAAAACTGATGATCAACATGAAACAATGCCTTACTTGTATTCTGGATTTGTATTCTTGAAGTCAAGTTTCTTATCTGCATTTGGTCCGGCAGCGATCACGATGTCTTGTTGAATGGCCATCGGTAAGACAGAATAGCCACAGTAGTCTATATGCTCACCTGAATGCATTTAGTCAGATTGGAAAAATGGTTTAACATGTATAAAATTAATTTGAAAGGACTGCTGTTTATTTTTCCTATGGAGTATTTGTTTTTACTTGACTTCACATTTAAAATTAGACCAAGTAAAAAAAATTAAATAGTTTTTCGTCCCGGCTTTTTTTTCATTTCTTTTTCCCTAAGATGGCAGATTTTTGCAAGATGGCGGATGATTTTTTTCCCATTGATCTCCATTATATAATGATTCTTCTATTTTCCCCAACTCTTCTGCTGAAACACAATCATGACAATTGTGGCCAAAGGAGCCGTCACCCTTTCTACATGGCTACAAGTTTGCTGGAAACAAATACAAGGACAATATATTGACAACATTTGCAAAATATATTGCAAATGTATGAATTAAAACAAAATAATACAAACAAATTAAAAAGGGGTGGGAAAAAGGAGGAGCACAGGGGCGATCAAGAAACTGGTGTATGTTTTACTTGGCCTTATATGGAAGTAAATAACTGTGTAACAAATTAACATGTTAATTAATCAACAGCTTATCTTAATCAACATTTAACACCAGGAATCTTTTTTGATTTCTTAATTCATATAACAATCTTACCAATTATATTGACTCGTCCAGGTGCTCTAGCAAAAAAGGCTGGCTCTGTACCAAAACTCTCAATGTACAGCTTTTGGATGGATTTATACCTGATGAATAATATTTAAAAAAATATTTTTAATACTTGGTAGTAGATTCACTTTCATCTCTCAGCGAGTACTTGTGTTTAATACTGACATTACTGTTGTTAATAACACTACAGTCTACAGCATAGCACAATGACAGAATTTTTATTTGCCCGGTTTTGCAATTTATTTCACCTACCTTTCTTTTTGTGGGCTTGGGACTTTTGTAACAATCTCGGGGCAATCTCTAGGATTTCCAGCCATATTTGACATATTTTCGTATTCAACTGTGGCGGGGAAAATTGTATGTTTCACGACGTCTACACTGCATGTCATTTGCCAACACAACAGTTTGTCTGCCCTTGGTCTGCCTGACTCCACCTCCCTTGGAAAAAGTCACATGACAGTTATTGATCAGCTGACCTTCAATGTTAATAAAAGAAATACATCACCATTGTGATAAGATAATAGAGAGAAATATAAGCGCGAAGGGAGTGCTCTCATATTTCATTGGATATAATTTCCAGCGAGGGTGCGCGCGCACTACATTCCTGATTCAAGATGGCGGCCTCCATGTGCAGACGTGTTTTTCCTCTGGGAAGAAAGTTTACACGATTTACGCTGCAAAATGCTTGTCAGTCGACACGATGTACGTACTCCACTGCCGAGACAAGTACAGAAACGCAAGTGGAGGTTCCAGAGGCAAAATATCCCCCGATTGTGCCACCGTTATTTGCAAAAACTGCGGAGACGAAAGAATATCGAACCAAACTGATCATCGAAGGCATCAACGATAAGCCAACGGCCACAGAAATGATCTACGAATTGAGTAAACGTCAAAGTTGGCATTACAATATTTTCCCTAGGTGTTTCCACTACAGCTTCTTGGATTTGTACAAGCACTGTATGAAGACAGTTATAGTGGAAGATCTTCCGAAGCAAATTGTAGAATTGGCGAACAGTCCTTCAGTAGAAAGCGCCGCCGAGATGTTGAAACCACACGTTATGGATTGCATTCTACAGCAGCAGTTATACGTGTACAGATACAAAGGCGACCCTGCAAAAAGAGACAGCACTGCTGGTAGACAGACCATGGAGAATGTCATGCGACTTTTGTTGGCAGGACTAGCTGGAGATTTTCATCATTTGAGAGATTCACAAATAGATCAAGACGTGGTGGTGAAATCCTTCTGGAAACGTGATGAGACCAAATTTCAGTTCACTGGAAATCCGTTGTTTTTAATCCGAACAAAAGAACCACTTCCTGAGGTAAGATTTGCACTTAAAACCCTTGTTTAAAAGTTGTTTAAAAATTTAAAACTACAACAAAAACACCCACCAAATAACTAAGTGCAACACATTATAAATGGAGGAAGACAATGGATTCATGCTGGTAAAATAATTTGTCTGTTACATATTTTGAAAGGTAGCTGTATATATTGAACTTTTGTGCCCCTTTTATCTGTAGTTTATCAGCAGAGATGATGAGCAGCTATGCATTGGTGAAGTGCCGTCGTGGTCCTATGCTCCAGAGAATGTCAGTGTCTTCAAGCAACACATCAACCCTGTCTGCTTTCCTGGTTAGTGTAAAGGGACCTATTTCATTATTCATCCCCAAATCAGTCTTTTGTAACTGATAAATGTGACGTATCGCGTGCACAAAGTCCATAGACGATACGTCACTTCGTGGTACACCCGACGAGATGTCCATCTCTTCTCAGGTATTTCTTAATCAATATCAACCTCTTTCCTCTTCCTTTGATAGGATTTAAGATTGGAAATCCATTCACCTACGGCCATACGCAAATCTACATGTCAGAATTCAACCGGAAAAAATGTGCTGAAAATAAAACCTTAGAAGAAGTTCTGATGGGCATTGGTATGTCGTCTTCATTTGGATGGCTGAATGGACTTGCCTTATATCAAAGTAAGTACTGACATTTCTACCAGAGTTGTAAGCCTTTTGTTAATTTTTTTCTCTTTATCAAAAATGTTACAAAGCTACAAACAAACGAAAGCACCATAAGATGTGAAGCTGAAATTGTAGTTTATCTGTTTCTAATAGCCAGGCATTACATTGAAATCAACCAATTTTTGTACTTAATTTACTTCTATGGCTAGGACATAAACCTGTTTTACTTCTTGTAAAAGTGTAGTTGTTAAAACAGACCAGTTTTTGTTTGTAAAAATAACTGAATCCTTCAATTTGATTTCTTGTTTTATTTTTCCACAGTGTATAACCCTTACAGAGACGTCACCCAACCGATGACGTGTCAGACGATAGTCACCGATGGCTCCAACTTCTCATTCTTCTGTTACCAGCTGAACACCTTAGGACTCTGCAGTCGCTCAGCAGACAATCCGCTACGGAATGTTTGCTGGTACACTCCAGATATGAAGCTGTATGGTGACGTACAAGACGGGAGGATTATAGACTTCAATGATGATGTCCTCAAACAGACTATTGCTTTTCTTTTGAACCCAACTATGCCTTTGGAAAAATAACTGGACAATGTCAGTTCTCATAAAGGTGAGAAAGTTTGTCCATGTTTCGTCAACTTGCACTACAACCTAACCTTACTTTGCACTGTGAAGTAACATTTAAGTGCAGCAGAAATATGTTTTGTAGAATACAGCATTAAATCTGGTCCAATGTTCTGCCAACAAAAATCGATTCATTTTTTCAACTCACTATTTATGTAATAATCTACTGCACTAAGTTGTCGATGTCAAAATACCACTGAACAGGATTGCTCACAAATCTGTCAAAACTTGGTTTTATTTATTTTTTCCTTTGAGTATGGAGCATCACATAATTATACTTGGTCCAGAAAGTCTATGTTCTAATACATGTGAACTTGATTCTGAGCAAGTAACAAGACCCACAATGTGACTGCACTTACATTACAAATGCCTATCAAAATGCAATACCTGTACAAAACACACCTACAAAACTTGTACTTCTTATTTTGTAAGTAACTCTCGATGCTACATGTCATTTAATGGGAATTGTAACATAGAGCTAGGTAACAGACTTGTCAAAAAGTGACATTGTAAAGTGACGCTTAATACAAGGAGATTATGTGAAAAATTGGAAGGATTTTTCGTGACTAGTTTCCTTTTGTATACAAACACTTATTTGGTAAAAGGCATGTCCACACTAAAGACCACCACAATCGTGTGGATTATTCAAAATAAACTCTTTTAAAGAAAAGAAAAGGCCGCCCGGACTCCTGTTTGTTTCTTTTATCTGTCAGTTCAATGCAAGCTTGCGATTTTAATAGCGCCCTCATAAGTCAATAAGTGGATGCAAACAGACTTGATGTGCCGCTTTTTGGCGCCGTGACCGCCGGCCCTGATCTGTATGGCTGATACCATGTGTTGACTCTAGCGCCCCCACCAGCAATTCAAAACATTAAATGGGTCCCCACCTTGTTTTTGATGCGCCAAACGTAAGTATTGTAGCTACTCATTCGCTTGGAAGTAAAGAACAGTTGGGACGCTTGTTTTGATTCTGAGATTGGAGCATCCCTGTGGATATTATTGTTTTGTTAAAGCGACATGATGTTTTCTGATGTCTCCTGATGGTTTTTTTAATGGTCACTTGAGAGTAGACCATTAAAATTCCATCGGAATTTAATTCCACTGGTATTTATTTATTCTTTGGATTATCTCCGGAGACAAGGCCAAATACCAACTCCAATGTCTTGGCGTAAAAAAAAAAAAGAAAATCTAAAACAGGCGATCCAATTACACTGTACACAATTTTCTTTTTAATTTGGGGGATAGTATAAACTTGGCAACTTAAACACGGAATTTATTCCACGTTCATGTGCCTCTGCATGAATCGATTCCACTGCTCTGTGATTCTATGGGGTCTATTCATTAAAGTATTACATGTACCCCTCTTTCAACGCGAATTCGCAACATTCTTTCCGAGTTGGTTACCGATCCGTGTTCTACTGTCCTTCCCTGAGGCATTGTAAACAAGTCCCCTGACTTGACATTCAGCACAACAGCAATTATTTCCGACTTGTCCGCGGTCCGCCATAGGTAGAGTGCAGGTTAAACAACTACTAATAAAACTGCCTTCACGGGGCTAGTCAGATATCAAGAAGTTCTATGTTGATACTGCATTTGGTTGCAGTTATTTGTTGATAAGACGCAACTTTGAGGCTTGGCAGTAAACATTGTGTTGTTTACGTGTAACGTTAAAAACACTAGGTCAACAATCAGTAAGGTGAAATTAGTAAGGTGTTGATTTTCGGCTCAAGAATTTTTATATTCAGTCCAAAAAAAATGTGCTGATTTGTAAAATAATTTGTTAAATGTTGATAACCAGACTTTAAAAAAACAAACACTTTGGTAATTTTATACCTTCAAACTGTTTTTGTGTTTTCATCCCGCGGGAAATTAGGCAAACCTCAGATCATGTGCAGCTGTGACCTTTGTCTTTTAGTTATAGTCGTATTCCAAATTAAAACCCCGAGCAGTTCTGTTGAAGCCCCATGATACTAGATATTGATATTCTCGTCCACTGGGTTTTCGCGACACTGGTAAATCCAGCGTCGGAGCTGACGAAAGTAATTTTCAAATCTTGTCATTTGATGTGAGACACTCGGAGACTGGGGACATGCATGAGAAACGGTGATCCATCAATGCTGAAAGTTGAAAAGGTTACATGAATTCAGGACCTCCCGACTTCGTACATGTTGGTCACGCTCCTTGGGCCAAATCAGTTGTGCCTTGTGAAGCAGTTTTCCTTAATCTTCAAAATTGCAGTCATGGATGAATTGGGAGGGGATAGAAAAACAAAAACAATTTGCTTTATACCCCTTCTTCATTGGTCTTGGTTTTATAGATGCCATCTGCTCTCCATTGACATTTTTCTTCCACGTTCTTAGTCGTACTGGACTCAACTCATTTTTTCTTGTTTGCAAGTCTATTGTTCCTAGTTTTCTTCCTCGTTCTTAGTCGTATACTCAACTCTTTTTTTAAGGCTGTTATTCCAAGTATAGAAGTATAATCTAAATTCCTGACAATTAACTAGTAGTATTGCTATGGTCCGCTTCTACTTCTTCCCGTTGAGACAAGCAGCGGCGTAACTTGGGCCAAGCTTAATTCTGAGGCACTTGGTGGTGCATCAATATTTCGAAGGGCGCTGAAGGTAAATGAAACGCATTACTTCAACAGTGCAGTTCAAGGCTTCAAATGGGGGTGGGGTATGGGCACCCTTTGGGGCACGGACATCCGCTGAGGCACGTGCCCCTATATCCCCACTGGAGACAAGCAAATGAAGGACATCAGTTGATTACCGTGGTCTCGTGGTTTTTCTGCGGATGGTGGCTTCAACTTCAGCCTTTGAATTTGCAGGTGTTCCGGCCCGGCCAGACACGTTGTCAATAGCTCTCTGTACCTTTAGCCTGTATTCTCTGATCATGCTCCATGCTCTGATATTAGCAGTATGTTGCTGTGTATTCCCTAGGGAGGTGAGTTGCTTCTAAGGAATGTTCTGCTTGCACGACGAGAAGTGATGATAATAATATAGCGCCCTGAACGCCAATAATATTGACTTATGTGCGCGTCATATAATAGAAATCATTCCGACATTCATTGACCGTGATGAGGTATCTTCAGTGAGCTGTAGTTTTAGGATAATGTTCAAAGATGGGCTCATATTTCTTTTCTCAACTTCACTATTAGGCCATTACCATTGTAGTTTATTCAGTTATTTGACATCATTTCGGAAGCTGCAGAAGGAGCGCAATATTTATTTTCTGTCATCTGAACCTCTCAACGGAACTACGCGGAGAACGAGATATTTTATTTATGAGGGAGCGTCTTTGAGAAAGCGTGTTTTCATCTCTGCCGATCCAGTGTCATCGAGGCGCTATTCAAGACACTTGTTGGTCAGTTGAGTGTCCGTACGTGGATGAAATAATAACATCGTGTCGAGGCACACGTTGAAGTTACCGGTAAAACCTATCAAATAACAGCTGTTGTGTGTTATTGAGTAAAACCCGGAGACGTAGTTTCCCGAGTAAATGTCATATTTTATATTGATGCCCTGGTGAGACACTGGCAATTAATTCTCACCCAATCTTTCTCTCCCCGAGGTGAACAGAATCATTGCAAGAAGCTATTCTTATTCCCGCACAGTCGGTGCCTTAAGGGTTCAAATTATCAAGAAATTCAACTGGAAAATTGAAAACCAATTTAAGCGGTTTTTTTTCTCAAACACGTCAGGTGATTTGCCCCGTGGAAATCAAAATCGTTATTTTGGATTCCTTCATCAATTCGTCTTAATTGGTTGTATTTTTGTTGTGTGAGAGAATCATGATTGCAAGAAATAACACCGAGTGAACTGTGTGCCCAGGGGCTCCCGCACGTACCGCTGCGCCAGAGGTAAACAATCACACAATCAATCACACAATCAACCTGCAGTTTGGTAATATTTTGGCGATATATAAAAACAAAATTCCGTCCTTTTTTATCGAGCTGAAGGATATTGCTTTAAGCTATTTTGCTAAAAGTCAGTCGAGCATTGACCTATTGTTGACAAACTACATGTATATATACACCTGGCACAAAAAGAAACTAAACAGGTTTTATAAGCGTCCTTGTTTGGACATTTCACGGTGAACAAAAAATCCGAAATATACGTTTTGTCACGGAAACTTTCAGGTTCAATTTGATACCTCACTGCACTGTGTAAGAAACAACGAGAGCGCAAGCGCTGAAGCTCATGAAACCCCACAACTATAAGTTGCACTTTAGCGAGATTTTCAATGGGCATTGCAACACACAACAACCTTTAGTTTGGGGGTTTCATGTGTTTTAGCGCTTGCGCTCTCATTATTTTTTACACATTGTTCCCCAGTGAGGTATCAAATTGAACCGGAAAGTTTCCGTGACAAAACGTTTATTTTGGATTTTTTGTTCACCGCGAAATGTCCAAACAAGGATGATTATAAAAACTGATTAGTTTCTTTTGTGCCACGTGTATATTCTTTGTGAAGGGGGCAGACCTAGAACAAGCTTCGGCGTCTTGTCTGACCACCCCCATACTATTATTATAAGTTCCTTTAAAGTTTTTTCCCTTGTATTTTACTTGCCTTATGGAAAATAAACCTAAACCTGAACCTGACTTTAATCGGCCACTGTTGTAATAAAAATGTATGACAATTTTCTTCTTTTACTTTTGCTAGGAATAAATATTTCTCGTAAATATATAACTTTTAATACACGCCCGGATTTATTTTTTAAAGAAGCCGCAAACGGAAACTGAGTAGGTGCTTATAATATCTGTTAAAAGTTGAACAAAGACATTGACTGGAGCGGGGATTGAACCTGCGACCGCTGGATAGCCGTTGCTCTACCAACTGAGCTATCGAGCCCTGTGCATTGGCGGAAAATCTTTTTTGCTCACAAACATTACTAAATGTAGTAAATGACTGATTATCTCACCAATATTTTCATTCAGGGTTATCTGAGGAAAAATTAAAATTGTGGCTTAAGTTACGGATAGGGTAGAATTTTTATCTTGATTATGACAAAATGACAAAATGGTGTGCATCATTTTTGTCAATTGGGGATCGTCAGTCAACATTTGCCTAATTATGTATACCTTGCCTTTTCAGGTAAAAGGCCGGGTATCGTTCCTTAATGAACTTTATTTATTTAATTTTGTAGTGATTGCTATGGCAACGTAGCTCACTCGTGCATGCCAAATTTTACGCCGAATCTTGACAATAAAAAGCAGCGGTGGTGACGGCAGACTTTATGTTTGTGAAAATTGCTATAACAAACGATTTGATTGAATGACGTTATCCGTTACCAATTTCTCCATAATGACAGTGATGATAATGTTTTTTATGAAAATATCAGATGGTGTTTTTTTTTAAGTCGGGCTGCTAAGGGCCGCGGGGATTATTAGTGGCTATTGTTAGTTTCAAGGAAACATTAATTTTCCTCGTTATTATTTCCACGCTCCGTTGGGCTGATGCATGAGCCGATTTGGTCCTGAATGCCCGTGGGAAATGAGCCCCATATAAATATTAAATGCTTTGGTGCTTATACGTGCCTGATACAACGCCCTTGGGTATTTTGACTGCGCTGTCTTTTTTTCTCGACGTTCTGCCTTAGAATTCAAGCTGCCCAAAAAATGTAATATACCATTCCTTAATGTCAAAGTATGTTACGTGCGTTACGGCAACATATGAA